TTTTTTTTTATTAAACAGTCCCTGATCGTGTTTCTTCTTCGCAGTCGATGCTTCAATCATTTGGCCCGCAAAAATGTGAACAACACAGGGAACATCGCGTATCGTTTTCACCAATATAATTTTTTTCATTAAATCAGCTTTGAAACTAAATTTAGTTGATCCTCAGGCACAATGCAACCATTTGCTTCCCTGTTCGCGCACGGGGGATTGCTACATCTTTCATAACCCCCAACAACCACCACCATGCAAATAAAAAGTGCATCTCATCCGAAGAAACGGTCTTGACTTAAGTGAATCATGTCATTTCTAACGATGTCCTCAAAGGGCTAAACACCCCCCCCTCCACTACCCTATCATATGTTGCACACATAACCGATCATGTTCAACGAGGGTTACAAATCTGAAGTTTGTCGAGTACTAAGGGGCCGCCCATAAATGACGTCACGCACCTGGGGGGGGGCGGTCAGACATTTGTGACGATGTGTGACGAGAGGGGAGGGGTTTGAGAAATGTGACGTCACATAAAAATGCGCAACTTTAAATAAATATAGACAACACGTTCTCCTTAATTAAATAGACTTTTTAATAAATGTTTTCTCCTACAACATCAGAGTGCAGCGCCACATTAAATACGCACTACAATGACAATAGTTTAAAGCGATTTGAAGCGTGTTTTTTTTGGGGGGGGGGGGGCAGAGCTTTGTGACGTCATATTTGAGGGGAGGTCTGACTTTTTGTGACGCCGTGTGACGAGGGGGGGGGGGGTGGTGAAAAATCGTCCAAAATCGCTTGACGTCATTTATGGACGGCCCCTAATAACCTACTCATCCTACCCAGACCAGAAAGCGTCCTGGCTGAGTGCCGGTTATCCGTAGCTGCACCAGCAGCTGTCTGCAACTCTCTCTCTCACCCACTGATGCTGCACATACGCAGCAGCAGCAGCATCTCAAGGAGCAGCATCCACACTCAAGCAGCAGCTCAGGGCTCTCACACCGTTCAAACCACCACCCGTTCAAGATCTCCCCTCTCCAGGACTTCACCCGTCCAGGATCTCACCCGTCGACGCCCTCACCTATTCAGGCGATCACCTATTCAGGCGATCACCTGTTCAGGTACTCACCTGTTCAGGCTATCACCCGTTCAGGAACTTACCTATTCAGGCGATCACCTGTTCAGGCACTCACCTGTTCAGGCTATCACCCGTCCAAGCCCTCACCCGTGCAGGCACTCACCTATTCAAGCAATCACCTGTTCAGGCACTCACCTGTTCAGGCACTCACCTGTTCAGGCTATCACCCGTCCAAGCCCTCACCCGTTTAGGCACTCACCTATTCAAGCAATCACCTGTTCAGGCACTCACCTGTTCAGGTACTCACCTATTCAGGCGATCACCTATTCAGGCGATCACCTGTTCAGGCACTCACCTGTTCAGGTACTCACCTATTCAGGCGATCACCTGTTCAGGTACTCACCTATTCAGGCGATCACCTATTCAGGCGATCACCTGTTCAGGCACTCACCTGTTCAGGTACTCACCTATTCAGGCGATCACCTATTCAGGCGATCACCTGTTCAGGCACTCACATGTTCAGGTACTCACCTGTTCAGGTACTCACCTATTCAGGCGATCACCTATTCAAGCAATCACCTGTTCAGGCACTCACCTGTTCAGGTACTCACCTATTCAGGCGATCACCTATTCAGGCACTCACCTGTTCAGGTACTCACCTATTCAGGCGATCACCTGTTCAGGTGTTCACCTGTTCAGGCACTCACCTGTTCAGGCACTCACCTGTTCAGGCTATCACCCGTCCGAGATCTCACTCTTCAAGGCCCTGACCCGTTCGGGCCCTCAACCGCTCAAGTCTTCACCCGTTCGTTCAGGCCACCCCCTACTCATTTAGCAGTCCCTCCAGAAAAACGCGGAGTTTTTTGGTGATTGTTGCGGGCAAAAATCGTTGATTATGCGGCACGTTTTCTTAAAAAATGCGATGGAATATGCGGGATATTATGCAATTTTATGCGATTAAATTGCGGGAACTTGCAAAAACTGCGGTTTGATGAAAAAGAGAAAAAAAAGTGATTCCCCCAACACCCTATTCACTAGGCTACTACTTTAATGTAAAGAGTCATTTCTTATTACTTCCTATGATAAGCAAGCATACTACATCACAGAAAGTGCTGGGAATATTTAAGTTCTCATCTTGTTTTATTTCAGACCTTAACAAACAGATGGCTCAAACTTACAAAACATTGAGTCGAACAAGTTCTGTAGCTTTACAAAATGAATATGCTACAACTTCTGTAAAAATGAATAATTAAAATATTAAAAAATAAAATATTAAAAAATAAAATGTGTGCTTCTTGTTTTACAGAGGTAGCTATACAAAACAGACATCTTCTGTTAAAATAAGTGTTTTCAGTGCACAGTAACGTAAGCAATACAGTAACAGTACAGTCTTACAGTAATGTAAATGTACATACTACTAACAAAAAAGTGCAATCTTACAACTGTAATGAGTGACGTCACTTCATAACGTTCCCATGGCAACAGGGGAAATGGCTGCGCTTGTGTGAAGTAAACGCAACATTTTTCAACTTTCTGCGAAGATATATGTGACTTTTTGCAACGAAATTGCGTGGATTATGAAATCATGCAAGCCCGCATATTTTGCGCGCGGAAATCTGCAATTTATGCGGCGAAAGTGCGGCGTATTTGAAAAAACGCACCCCCCGCATAAATATGCGGACTTTGGCTGATTTTGCGTGGAAACTTGCGATCGCATAATCGCGTTTTTCTGGAGGGACTGATTTAGTCCGTTTAACACGTTGCCAAACGCAAGATTAGAAACCAAGAAAAAAACGGAAAACCAAAATGATAAAAAAAAAACGGGCCCATAAAAGGACGACCCATAACGTGATCGGTTTCACTCCCAGGGCAGGCTCAACCTGAGGTTATGATAATAACCCAACTTAGAACGCGCCGCACACACGCGTTGCTCACTCTCGAATAGAGAGAACGACTCGGAGGAGCGAGGAGAAGCCATCAGAGCAATGGTATACGATGATATACGACGATATACGATGATTTACGCCCGACGATTTGCGGCTCATCGCATTCAGTCGTTGATCGTTTCAACTTATGGAGGAGGCAATATCCCCCACACCTGATGATTCCACGAGTTGTTGTTGGGTTTTTGTTGTTGACGAAACCCGATTTAAGAGCGTATTGGCTCCCAGGGTAATTCAAAATAAACTGAACTTTGGGACACTGTTGTTGACAGCGGTTCCCCAACTGTCGTTGGGGCAGCTCAGAATCAGCATATTTATCCTGGAGGAATCCGATGAGTTCTTAAGCCTTCTGTTTCACAGATCTCCGGTAGGGGCACGGGGGAAGTTACCGTGTCGGGTTCAGGAAGATTCTGGTTTGGGGGACACCGCTGTTTTACCAGCGGGTGGTGTGGGAGTTTCCGTCTGACATTATTCTGAATCTAGATTGAAAACGAATTGTCTTTAGAACCAAATTTTTTGTGTATTTAGTTTGTCCTCCGATTGGCACCGTTGGCTTCGTTACGGTGCGAAAGAAGCTCAACATACACACAAATAACTAGCGCCATCTATTGGTGAAAGTATATTTTTAAACATTCTTTTACGGGATTTTTGCCATCGGCTGTAACAAAAATTGTGTTCCTTATACAGTCACCGTTGTCCCGTGGATCGCTTTCCACGTTTTGGCCACTCCTGTGACAGACTGTTAACAAACCAGGCACACAATAATAACTGTTGAGCAGAGGTGACATGAATCACGTACATTTTTTATTCGATTTCCTTAAGTAAAATTGCTTAAGATGTTAAGTACATGAAATATGTATGTTAAAAACATTTTAAAATATATATATTATTGTAAAATTAGAGCGAGAAAAATCATGACGCGAATCATTTATATTTGCTCTGTGATAACGTACATTCGTACGCTTTTCATAAACGCGACCACAAAAACCCAAGCAACGTTTTTTTGTTGTTGTAAGGTTTGGCAGCCGCTCGTAATCCCAGCGTGGTTTTGCCTGGGTTGAGAATTCCAACTTTAGATTTGAAACTTTCGTGACTGCAAGGATTCATACTTAGTTGTTTCGGTAAAGTCACGTAGGTAAAAAAAGTGGCCTCACTTGATACAGCAAATCTGGCTGTGACGGTCCCACCTCATGACGGAGACTTGTGTTGCCTCCGAAACGTCGTGATTTTTATTATTTAATTTTTATTTCATTTTTTTTACCTACGTGACTTTACCGAAAAAACTAAGAGTATGAATTCCAACTTCGCACAAGCTGTCGCCACTCGCTACTGCATCCACCTGCTGGAGGCCATTACTCCAGAAGGAGCGCGTGGCAAAAGCTTGCGAGAAGAGACGCTCAAAGCGCAGCTCGGATTACAAGCCGCCGTGAAAACCCTTGTATTCGATGGGAGCACAAAATCTCAAGTCCTTCCGACTGGCCATCAGTTTGGTTTCTCTGGTGCATGCCGTGCGATCACCGTCTTGGGTAGTGGCACTGCCACCCATCTCATCTCATCTCCGTGACGGATGTTGCATCATGGGTTTGTTTGGGCGGGGAGGGTGGCATCGGATTTGAAATGGAGGTGAAAATGTGGTTCCACCTAACAGATCAGACCACTTTAGAAACGCAGAAGATATCACAAAAGTCACGTGGGCCATGTTTTTAGCCACGGCTCTACTCTGGTTGGGGGCCTTCGACGCAGCTCAGCTCAGTCTCGAGCCCCTCGGTTGCTTCCAAAGACACAGGAGTGAGAGGCTCAGCCTTGGCTCTGGCTCATGGAAAATCCTGACCGTGGCTGGGATCATGGCTTCGAGCCGGCTCACTCGAGCCAGAGCAAAGCCTGAGCCTAGCTGTGACTAAGAATACGGGGCCGCTCAAGGCGTCTAGGAAGTGGTGTGAAAAATGTCCATCGTGTGTCAGTGGTGGGGAAAACTTGGGGTCTGCGCCAATCTGCGAGTGCTGCCGTGTGGAAATTCTGCGTCGTGTTGTGCGTGCGCGTGAGCAGGAAAGAGCATCTTGTACGAGGGTGGCGCTGGGGAAGGGGTCGATGAATGGCATCAGCGCCGTGCACTCCGAGTTATCGTTGATCAGGGGGAATGTGCGGCTTGAAGCAGCCGCTGCGTCATGCACGATCCCGGCTTCACGGCGTCCCTCTCCGCCAGGAGACTCCTGCAATGACGCGCGAGACACCGACGGTGGCACAATCACGGTACTGCACCTCACACACCGCCGCCGCTGCTGCTGCTGTCAGCAGCACAATGGATTGTACACGGCGCACATCGCGGTATGAGGCGCAGCCCGTGCACAGCGGAAGAGACCGGAGCAACCGCCAGTCACAGCGTTAAAGATCCCCGCGATGTCATCAGAAGCGAAGTTGGCCATCGCGTGCCAGCGCCACGGTCCAAATTTGCCAAAAAAGTTTAAAGATTACACCGCTGCCTCTTACAACGCCGTTTCCTTATAACGCTGTTTTGGTCCTGGAGGAAAATTCCTGTGCGGTTGCCAAAGAGGTGGAGGACCCTCCTGTTGAGTAAAGAGTCTCAAGACTCGGCGAGGACTTTCCTGGCTAAACAATGCACACTCACAACAATAATAATAATGTATAAATATATACTAAATAATGAGCGCAAGTGCTTGCATGATCATAAATCCGGTCGCAGGACAGGCCACTGCGACTCGCCGTCGTTTCCTTCCCCTTGCTCGAGCCTGCAACCGTGGCAATGTCAACGCTTCACCTCCACGGGCTCCGTTCTTAAAACACCCGCACACGTCATGGCTTCTGGAGGCCTTCCCCTCTCTCGTCGACGACCTCCGAAAGCCAGGCCAATGCCCCGTCCGCTATCCTCCACACGCGCGCGGCCCACCCATCGCACCGTCTTAATTGCCGAGTGCGAGCTGCGATGCTTTCTCTTTGCGACACAGTCTTGGATTGTATACAGCGGACAAGCACGCTCTTGAAAGCTGAAGCAGTCCAGGGGTTGCCGCCAGAACAAAACACATCGGGGAAACGCTGTTCTCACCAGAGCCGACGGGATAATGGACCGACACGTTAGTTGAACAGGCTCGTATCTATTCAGGCCTGAACCACATTTCCCCACAACAGCACAAAAATGACTTCCGGAACATCTTAAAACTTGGTAGAAAACGTGCGGCAAACTGTCCCTTGGCGCGTTGCACTTTAACGGCTCGGTACATAACACGACCACATCACACACAACGCACGCACACGCAAGGGCGAGGAATGCACGCCGGTAGTAGAAAGATCTCTGGAATGGTAAGGAGGAACCCCACCTTGCCAGCCGTTTGTGCTCCGGGTTCAGGAGAGAGAATGGCCGAGTGAATCAGCAGCAAATTGAAGACGTCCCTCTGCACACACACATGCGCACCACACAGAGCACATGTTACAATTGGCTACACATGGTGTGAAATAAGTTCAACGTACATATAAAGACAAAGATCTCTCGTATAGCCTTCAGAGACTGTTGGGGCATGTGCTGTAAGCAAGCACCTATGAAGGCCAGAACGGCACACTAGGGGGTGGGTGGCCAGCACCAAGCCCGACCGCCTTTGTCTCCCCAGTGTCAATGTTTACACGCTGAACCAGATACTCAGTTGAGGCCGAGTCGACCTAGGGGACGCCCAGGTCTGGTTTAGATAATTGCCACTGGTGTTGGCCTTGAGCAGAAATCAAATTCAGGTCGCTGGTTCGTAGCGCAGCCGTGCCAACCGCTACACTACTGCTCCGTACACACACGTCCAAACAACGCGCAGCATCGGAGCAGAGCATTGTGGGTACTGCTCATCGGGACGGATTCAAACAGCGCATCAGAGGCATTGCAGTTGTGGAGCGTTTTCACGGGCGAGAGTGGAGCGATTCTCGGTGCGCGAGCGAGCGAGGAGCGGTTCCCGCACCTGCGCGTTGCTGCCCCCCATGCGGGGGACGTCGTAGCGCACTTGCTGAAGGAGCTCGACGCATTCACCGTAATTCCCGGCGTCAAACGCCACGTGGGCGCGGCACAGGTCCACCCCCACACGCCTGGCGACGCGGTCCTGGTCGCGCGCGTCGCCCCTGCCGGACAAGCAGGGCACAGAAATCCACGTGCGGGCACGCACACACGCGCACACACGCGCGTACACACGCAAGCACACACGCAAGCACACACACGCAGCAGCAGCGTCAAAGCGCCGCCGCACCCCGCCAACACAACGTGACGAACGCGAAGGTTGTCGATTCTTCACGACCACGTTGCTTGTACTTGTATTCGACGCACGAGTGCAATAATCGGCACGAACGGCTTTGGATTTTTGTTTTTTAGGAAACAAAATGTTTTCGTTGAACGACTTATTTAGTTATTTAGTTAGATATTCCTTCCGTTCGCATTTTTTACGCGTGGTGGAGTCCAACGACAGACGCACTGCCTGGCGTTACAGGTCGCGCACTAGCGCGTCAATATTTACGGAGCTCATTGCGGGGATGTTAAAGGGTTGGCTGAAATTTCTTTAAAATAAACACGCGGGGGGGGGGGGGGGGGTTGAGAAAGGGGTGGGATATCAATTATTTATTTTTCAAGCAATTTGTCGGAGCCGACTTTTTGCCACTGCAAATGTATTTTGTTTCACGTAGATTAATCTCGCTTAGCGGGCGGCCGTGTGTGGGGGGGGGGGGTGCGCAGACCTCCGCTCCTCCATGGCGGACGTCAGCTGGTCCGTGAGCGACACCTCCTTCGCTCCCAAGGTGGACATGAGCAGGTGGAGGTCGTTGAAGACCAGGGTGTGGTCCCCCACGTGGGAGCGGGTGACGCTCGCGAGCTCCTTCCAGCGCTCTCCGACGCAGACGCCTGCGGCGGAGACATGGGAAGCCGACGCCCGACCCCCCCCGGCGTCGTTAGGGGCGGCGAAGCGTTATGCGCAACGGAGCGCGTTACGGAGAGAACGTGGAACGAGTTCAAAAGTGATGCACGTGGTGCCGCCCCATGCCACCCCTCCTCTATCCTGTCCTGTGATGCGTGGTCATGTGGTCTCAGGGTCAGGCTCAGTGGGGTGAAACTCAAATGCACACAACACAACAAACACAGCACTCACTCTATACACCGCTCGCCCATCGCTCACCCTCGAGTGTGAGGCGGTAGAGCATCGAGCAGGCGTCCACCACGTCCAGCATTCCGCCAGATTCCTTGAGCCGGGGGCACACCTTGCGCGGGCACAGCGTCCAGCGTGCCAGTCATCAAACCAAGGCCTCTCGCCGTTAAAGTTTCCACAGCCACTCAACTAAACATCAACTTTAAAACAAACAAAAAATTACGCAGCATCCACATTCACCCAACGTCACGTCGCCAGGACTCGCGCGTGCAACGCGCACCTTTCTTATCTCACCTTAATTTAACCAAGGTGCCGAATCGAGAATTAGCGATTTCACATAGAAACGGTGTGATGAGAAGGATGGTAGTGCACGATGGGTAGGACGATGAAAGATGATGAAGGTGACGATGAAGTGGTTAATGATGGGTGGGCGAGTGAGTGGGTGCGATGAATGGGGTCGGGATGTTGTGAAGAGGGATGGAGTTAGTGATGGGGAAAGCGGGGGTGGAGTAAAGCGAGAGAAAACAGGCGAGCTTTCAGGGAAGAAAGACAAACAGTGACGCCGAGTGACGTGTAAACAGCTTTTAAACTCCGGTTGTCCTCGCAGCAGCAGCAGCAGCTTTTGGATAACCATCAAAGACGGTGTTCACCGCCATCGCGCTCTTTCAGATGCGCTTCTGCGGCCGTCTGGAACGCTCTTCCTTCCGATATTAGGAAGCCACTGGAGCTATGCACTTTTACATCTAGATTGAAACCCAATTTCTTTAGAACTGCTTTTTGTGTCGAGTTTTTTGACCTTCCCTCCGCACCTCCGGTTAGCACGGTTGGCAATGTACAGTTCAACATTCATACATACGTCTCATCTCAACATTTGCCACCCACCGAGACACACTTGTGTGGATGGCCCAAATCATAAGCTAGCCTTGCCCGTTTGCTCATTATCATATTTACCCATAGCCTGCCAAGGCAAGTGCACATTAAGTATCCACTTGCATTTTGAGTTTAGTTTTTGTTGTCATTCCCCCCCGTACCTCCGATTAGCATGGTTGGCTACGTACGGTTTGAAAGAAGTACAAAACACACGCGCACATTTCCTGCAGCACGTGCGCGCGTGTTACCTTGGTGTCGTAAATGGTCAGGGATTCTTCATATTCTCCCTGAAAATCAAGCGCAGGAACACCATCAGCCACAACAGCCATGGCTGGGAAAGCCGTCGCGAGCGCTGCGTCGCGACGCGAGCGGCAGGCGACGGCCGCGCTCGCCAAATCCGCGGCCCCCGGCGTTCCGACCGCGTGGTTTTTACCTTTTCCAGGCAGTAGAGGGCCCAGTGCCAGTAGTTGTGGCAAGCCAGCATGTCGCACACCTGCAACACAGAGACGGAGAGAGCGAGAGAGAGGTGGGGCGGAGGGGGGACACTTTCGCCGACAAGACATCGTCAGTGTTGAGGGCCCGCCACACATTTGAAACCATTGGGGGTTTTACAGCAGCACAATGATGATGGGGGTGTTTTCACACTTTTGTATTGTCGGGGGGGTGGGTGGGGGGCGCACTAAAAGGCCACCAGGGGCCCGCGAGGCCTTGCAAGGAAAGAACGCTGGCCTAGTGGGCAGCATCCGTGGCGGCACGGAGGTTTTTATCAAGCGGCATCTCTTATTTATATCCAGGCTGGCGCACACTGGGGGGAAAGTCAACAGAGGTTGCCCTTATGGGCAAGACTTACCCCTAAGCACGTTGCATACATATTTACGAGTAGCTGGTGCGGTGTCTAAACGACTGGAGACACATCGGCCAGGCGTGGTGCAACCCCCCCCCCCACCCCTCCCCTCGTGCGCCGTGCTCGCCAAAAACACTTGTCCCAAAAGTTGGTAAAGGCCATACGGGGGATTATTGTCTTTGTTTCTACGTGGGCGATGCTCAAGGTACCTCCCAATTGTTTTCGGTCTGAGACATCAGCGCTCTCCCCTTGGCAGGTGCGACGGTCATCTCGTAGACGTGAGCCAAGGCGTGTGTGGCCCAACCGTCGCGCTCGTTCATCTGCAGGGCCTGCACTCACGCACACGCAGTGCAGTCAGGGTCCAGAGGTCGCATAGCCATGGTTAGAGACCACATTAATGCCAAGCGTTCAGTTTAACGTCGTATGTATGTTCAACTTCTTACGCACTGTACGTAGCCAACCGCGCTAATCAGGGGTGCGGGGGAAGGATGACAAACTAAACACAAAAAAAAAGCAAGTCTAAATAAACGAGTTTTCAGTATCTTACCGCCTGGTTACACCAGCCCACAGGGGATTATTGTGTCCGTCCGTCCGTCGTGCATCCAAAAATGGGAGGGGTGGGGCTGGGTGGAGAGGAGAGTGTGGGGAGGGGCTGGGTGGGTGGGGAGGGGAGGGGCTGGTCACCCCGTAGGTGGCCTCATAAAATTCAACGTTTAGCCTACTCGCCCTCACAATCGGCCATGTTTGCGGAATACACCACGCCGCCGTTGACCCTGGCCATTGACCGAGCAACCCAACGTTCCTACCAGCTCCCTCCGCAGGAATGTGTTCAGAAGCAACCTGGCCCACAACAATTAAGCTCGACAAAGTCGTCTCATCACGTGGAGATTTGTAGCAGCAAACATTATCTAAATACGTCAGCCACCCATACGCTCACCCGCCCAAACTGAGTCGCTGCCAACCAATCACGGTATCCTCAATATTCAGACTGTTAAGGGGTGGTGGAAAGGATGACAATGACCAATCCAGACCTCATCCTTGGTCACATTATATCGGGGCATTCTTACCTGTTTGGCCGCCTTCTCTGCCAGATCAAACAGATTGTTTTCCTCCAACCCAAACGCGTGCATTGCCAGCAGATGTCTGTTGGAATAATCCACACGGTGCGAAAATGTTGCTTAATACATACAGAAGAATTTCCACCGCCGCCCCCCCCGATCCAAAAAAGAAAAAGTGCTGGTTATTTTTTCAAATAAATGATATTCGACAAAACACGGAACATTGGGTCAATGGTGCCAACCAGCGGGTGCCACGGTGGCGAGATGTTAACTCCCTCGCCTGGTATGCATGAGGCCGTGGGTTCACATCTGACCCCGACGCCTGCTGTATATTTGGAGTTTGCATGTTCTCCCCGTGGTCGCGTGGATTTTTCTCCGGGTCCTCTGGTTTTTCCCCTCGCATATTTAGAATCAACATCATGCGTTTAGAGCATTTGGCTGCTGTACATTTTCCACATGATAAGCCGCTTCGCTGTGCTATCATTTGTGGCCAGGTCGCTTCTGAAAAAAAGCTACATAACTCAATGGGTCTTACCTGGTAAAAAAAAATAAAAAATAGTGTAGTTCAACCACATGCCAATGGTGGGTCAGCGTCGGCAATGTTTACTGGGATACTGCAAACGAGCGTGAAATTGCATGGGCCAAAAAGGGACATTTGGTGGCACAGGGGCGGCCCTGGATAGTCGTAATGTATGTATGTGAAGTACCGGTGAAGACGCTTGACGCCGAGGTTGAGGCACACGTATATTTATTTCACAGTATGACAGTGGGCATATACACTCTCGAGGGGGTATCGGCCCCCTCACCCGTATAACTCGGGATACACCCCTAGCTAACTCTGTCCTAGCCCCGAATCCTCCACTAATGGGCTAGGGGAGGCTAACTGGCCCGACACTGGTAAGTCGGGCCCGGTACCCGGAGTTCCAGACCAGCTCTTACAAGAGCACCGGCTCTGGCTTTCGGGACCACGCCGCTGGCTCAATCCTGTCCGGCCCTGAAAAGGACATCGAACCAGGGGAGTCCAGGGCTCTATCTAAGACGTCTTCAATCTTCTTCCCTTAGCTTAAACATAACTGCCGAGCCCTTTGAAACATCCCCTTTTATACCCAACCCCTCCCTGAGGGGTGGGGCCCCGGGGGATCATAACGTTCGAACCAGCCCCCCCCCAGGGTGTCTGGCTCGGACGTCGTAGAGGGCACTTGCTCGTGCACTTACGTAGCCCCGCCCACTGTGTTTGTTTTCCATAGGCTGCCATGCATAACGGGCCCTCTCTTTAACACCCCTACATCACCCCCCCCCCCCCCCCCGCATAGCTTGCAGCCGTCCCGGCTGCCAACATACAAAAATGACAATAAAAGTGCATTTACCCCTTGACCGCGCGTGTGCCTCACTATTTTTCAACAATAACAAGAACAGCAACAAGAACACAACAAAATGCAACAGCAAGAAGAGAAAACAACCCGACGCACCCCCCCTTGAATAAATACGAATTCCGTAAAAAAAACAACCTATATACAATTTGCAGGGAACCCACCATACACACAACACCAGGTGAACCCAACGTATGTACATTTCAATGGGCAGGGAACACACCACCCACACAACACACAATGAACACAACGTATGTACATTTCAATGGGCAGGGAACACACCACCCACACAACACACGATGAACACAACCTATGTACACATCTTCCGGCCTCATAACAGTCTGCGCATTTTTGCGCGCGTCCTTGCAGCGGGCCCCTCACACGGGGTAACCCCGGGTGGCGGACCGTAAGGTGGCAATTGTCCGTCCCGGAGTGAGACCTCATCCGATGCCGTGCGACCGTCGGTATCCCCAGGAGGGGTGGTCGGGCGTGAGCCCGTCAGTCCTGATGCACCTGGAGGTGGCACGGCCGGCAAGGCATTAGGTGAGAACGACGGAGACGGACCCAGTGAGTCGGTCGACCCCCCACACGTTTGGCCACGCATGTGTGAAGTGGGTTTGTGTACCGCAACGAAGGGTTTTAACCTAGAGGGGTGCACGAACCATCGCCGCTTCCCCCATTTAATGCGCACGCACTGTGGTCGCAAAACTTCGACCACCTCCACAGGGCCCCGCCACGGCCGCGCCAGCTTAGGGGAGGTAGCCAGGGGCACTTGGGGACAGTGCAACCATGCCTTGTCCCCCGGCTTCCACTGTATTACGTGCGCCCGACCCAGCCTGAGGCGCTCATTCGCCTTTTGACGGAGGTCCGAGTTTAGCATAGCAGCATCCCGCGCCTCTGTTAATTTGGCCAGATTAAATTTGACGTGGTCAGCCAATTTAGTTTTCCCTTGCGGGTCGGAGATCTGCAGCTGGGCGCGAACAGGCGGGTCGGGTTCGCGACCGTACATGAGGTAAAAGGGGGAAAATCCCGTAGCTGCATGGGGTGCCATCCGGTATGCCGCCAAGACCCCTTGAATATGCAGGTCCCAGTCAGTCTGCGAGTCCGAGACCTGCTGTGACATCATTGACGTAATGGTGCGATGCAGGCGCTCGACCATTCCGTCAGTTTGCGGGTGATACGGGGAGGTACGAATTTTCTTCGTGCCTAAGAGGTCACAGACTTGTTTGAGTAATTTACCGGAAAAATTTCTGCCCTGGTCGGTCAGCAGCCGCTCCGGAGCACCTTTGTCCAGGACGTATCCCTGAACAAAGGCCTCCACGATGGCTGCTGCCGACTGGTTGGCAAGGGGCCAGGCCATAGGCCAGCGCGTAAAATACTCGACACCTGTCAACAAATACCTATTGCCCCTGGGGGTGGCGGGAAATGGGCCCAAAATGTCCAGCGCGACAAGCTCATTTATTCTGGATACTTTGATCGATTGCAAGGGCGGGTTAGACTCCCGCGCCGGCGGTTTCCGTTGCGCACACCGAGGGCATGATCCCAATAGATCCCCAACATCCCTCGTCATACCAGGCCAAAAAAAATCAAGTTGTAGCAGTGCAAGAGTCTTTTGGGTCCCCAGGTGTAATAGGCGCTCATGCGCGGCCCACACCACCTTGCCTCGCAACTCAGAAGGGACCACCAGCCGATGTCGCTGGGATTTGCCGTCCCAATGCATCAGCAGACCTTGCACCATTTCCCATGCATCCGAATCACCCTTCACCCGCCCAGCACCCCCGACGCGACGCCGCCCGAGGAGGGAGGTATCCTCCATTTGGAGGCGCCCCCATTCAGTGACGGGCAACCCCAACAGGGAATCTCTTCCCTGTTGTTCGATCGAATTAGTAACCAATGGTTCGTCGTCGTCGGTGGCTGCCAAGATCGGAACCGATGCGTCCCCTGAAGGCCTGCAACGTCCCGACCCCAGGAGGCATGCACATTCGGAGGTGGTTGGCATGCGCGACAGAGCGTCCGCATTCGTATGGCGAACGCCCTTACGGTAGGTGGTTTCAAAATCAAAGTTCCTGGAGAACCTCCAACCATCGAGACAACTGTCCCGATGGTTGTTGAACTCGCAGGGCATACTGTAGTGCCGCATGATCTGTGCGGACGGTGAAATGCCGACCGTACAGATATGGGCGATACTGTTGGATGAAATAGACAATTGCCAACAGTTCCCTACGGGTGACACAATATCTTTGCTCCGCAGGAGACAACACCCGACTACCGTACGCGACCACCCGTTCCACGCCATCAACCACCTGGGAAAGCACACCCCCAATACCCGTGTTGCTCGCATCGGTGTCGAGCAAAAAGGGCTTAGAAAAATCTGGGTAAATCAAGGGAGGGGCTTTTACCAGGGCGTCCCGAAGGGAGCAGAAAGCAGCCTCCTCCTCTTGACCCCAGTGGAACCGAACCCCTTTAGATGTTAAAGCGTGCAGGGGTTTTGCAATTGTCGCAAAATCAGCGACGAACCGTCGGTAATACGACGTGAACCCAATGAAACTCCTGACCTCTCCCACCGAGGTGGGAGTCGGCCAGGAGCTGACACACTGCGTTTTGGCGGGATCGGTAGCAATACCTGAGCGTCCCACGATGTGCCCCAAATAACGCACCGAATCGCGCAACAAATGGCATTTTTGGGGCTTGAATTTCAAATTAGCAGCCCGCATCTTTAGGAAAACCGCCCGCAACCTCTGGAGATGTTCGTCAAAAGTTTTACTAAAGACGATAACGTCATCCAAATAAATGAGGCACGACTCCCATTGCAATCCAGCCAAAACCAATTCCATCAAACGCTGGAAAGTTGCCGGCGCTGAGTGTAAGCCCATCGGCAACCGGTTGAATTGGAACAGGCCATGCGGTGTACGGAAAGCAGTTTTAGGCTTTGAATCATCGTCCAGAGGAAGCTGCCAGAATCCCGAAAGTAAATCCAGTGTGGAAAAGAATCGCGCTCCCGCCAAGGCGTCCAGCGATTCATCCATCCGAGGGAGCGGGTATGCGTCGGCAACCGAAATTTTGTTAAGACGCCGGAAATCAACGCAAAACCGCAACGAACCGTCCTGCTTTTTAACCAGGACGATCGGCGCTCCCCAAGGGCTGGTGGAAGGAGAAATGATGTCGGCGGCCAACATGTCATCAACAGCCGATTTGACATGGTCCTTTTCGGCGGGACTCAACCGAAACGGATTTTGGCGAATTGGTGCGCTGTCACCCGTGTCAATATGGTGACGCAGCAGGTGAGTACAACCCAAATCGTATTTATTCCGACTAAAAACGTCGGAAAATTCCCGCAGTAGTGTTTTAAGTTGTTGACGCTCTGAATCTGACAGGTCCGTCGATCCCGCACAAAGCGCCTCGAGCCACCCTTCATCGCTGTCCGAATGCGGTCGCGGCGCAGGGACAACGCTGACGTGATTTGCGACGGGTTCCTCACATGGCACCGGCGTTGCGTGAGCAAGCACGGTCCCCTGTGGGACCACCACCGTCTGCGAGCCCACATTGAGGACCGCGATGAAGGGTTCACCGTCCCCTCTTACTATGGTCTGGGCCGGAAGTAAATGAGGTCCACTAACCCCGGCCCTAGACGGCCCCAGCAGAACCCCTTGGGCCCCAACGCCCTTAGCGAAGGGCAGCCGAAATTTCAAAGGAATCAACATTTGCGCCCCCGGAGGGACGCGCACCGTTCTCTCTACGAATGCCGGCACCGTCGCGAACGCCGTCCGAGTCGTAACAGGCGATGGCAGAAACGCCATGTGTCTGCCCGACGGGAGCTCAATACATCCCTGGTCGATCAATATCCTAATCGGCATTTTGGCCAGGAAGTCCGTCCCCAGCAGGCACGGAACCGCCAGCGAGGAGGAAACAAAAATCGGCCCAGACAATTTAATTTCCCCAATACAAATTTGGGCACGAATTTGTCCGATGATGCCAAGTGAGCCCCCGTTAGCCGCATAGAATGGTACGTTAACAGGCATCAAAGGACGACTCCGGACAGGGAGAATATTGTAAATCAACTCCGAAATAATGGTCGCCGATGCTCCCGTATCGACCAGGATGCGCACTTCAACCCCGTCGATGTGCCCCACAACGGCCGACGACCCCGACGATGCGGCTACCACACGATCGGCCAGCACGGACCACTGGCCGGGTTCGATATGAGTACCCGGGGTGGTGCGTGATGGTGCGATGGTGCGCGATATCGGCCCCCCTCTCGTTGCGGTGTTTGAGTGCGTGACGGGTGTGTGCGTGGGCCAAACATGTGGGGTGCCGCGACTCGCCGGGTTATGATGGTGGAGCTTGTGATGAGGCCCGTCGTCCCGTTGAGGTGTCGTCCCGCGCTGTCGAGGAGCGCGGCACCCCGAGGCGACGTGGCCCCGGACGCCGCAGTTGAAACACCGCGGGAGCGCCGTTGGAGGAGACGGACGGTTGAAACGGCCCGGCCCGTCCCGGCCCGACCGTGCTCCTGTCGCCTGTTGCGGTCGGTGGTCGACGGCGTAGAGCTCCTCCGTCGGAATGGTGGCTGCAGCCACCGCACGCCCCGCCGATGCCCTGCTGGCTTTCCGCCGCAGTGACAGGAGGTTGGCGTGGAGGAGCCGCGCCGCCTGGAGCGATGTCATCTCCTCGTCCTCCCGGGCGACGACCGCGATGTCAAGGTCGTCTGCCAGGAGGAGGATCTTCTCCGTGACCATCGCGTCCACGCCGTCGTCGTCCATACGAGGGAAGGCCGACTTAGCCATCGCCAGGAGGCTCGTCCGATATGCTAGGGGCGACTCCTTCTCACCCCGCTTGCGGTCGTAAAATTGCTGTCGGCATTCAGCCGATGGTCCATAGACCCCGCCCAGCAGCTGTAGTGCCATAGGTAACGTAGACCGCTTCTCTCTCGGCGCCGATGTGAGGGCGGCGAGCGCGTCGCCGTCGAGGAGCGCCGGCAGCGCGCAGAGAGCCTCCTCATCGGACCATTTCGCCATCTCCTGATGGGCGAGGAAACGTCAGCGAAAACCGGCCCAGTCCCCCTCCGCGCCGATGAACTCCTTCAGCGGGGGCAGTCTCTGATGAAGCGCAGCGGTCGTTGTGGACTCCCGCAGGCTGATGTCACCACCACTCGGCTGTGCGTCGGTGCGAACGGCCGATGGGATCGCCTGTCGCGCTTGTGATGACGTTGCAGCTTCAGCGACGGCGATGTCGGAGCGGATGTCTAGGCTGGCCACGCCCCGAACAGCTGTAGCGTCGATGGCGGGAATTTCAAATTCGGACTGCTCCGAAATGGCGGGAAGGCGCCCTGGTCGTTGGCTCGCCTCGCCCCGTGTTGGATCACCGGCCCCTAGTCGCGTGATGGTCTCCAGCGTGGCGGCAGCGGCATACAGCAGCTCCGCCAGCCTCCCGTGAGCCAGCCGTAACGCGTCTGGCTGCGGCCCCTCTTCATTTCCATGGCCCGGTAAGGAGGCGTCAGGCCCCGGCTGCACCTTGTCTTGTGGAGCCGTCTCGGGCTCGACGATCTCGGCAGTGTCTTCCTCCTGCGGTACTTTGGCCCGCGCTGTTTTCCGCGTGTCCATGTTCGAATTACTTCTGACACCAGTTGAAGTACCGGTGAAGACGCTTGACGCCGAGGTTGAGGCACACGTATATTTATTTCACAGTATGACAGTGGGCATATACACTCTCGAGGGGGTATCGGCCCCCTCACCCGTATAACTCGGGATACACCCCTAGCTAACTCTGTCCTAGCCCCGAATCCTCCACTAATGGGCTAGGGGAGGCTAACTGGCCTGACACTGGTAAGTCGGGCCCGGTACCCGGAGTTCCAGACCAGCTCTTACAAGAGCACCGGCTCTGGCTTTCGGGACCACGCCGCTGGCTCAATCCTGTCCGGCCCTGAAAAGGACATCGAACCAGGGGAGTCCAGGGCTCTATCTAAGACGTCTTCAATCTTCTTCCCTTAGCTTAAACATAACTGCCGAGCCCTTTGAAACATCCCCTTTTATACCCAACCCCTCCCTGAGGGGTGGGGCCCCGGGGGATCATAACGTTCGAACCAGCCCCCCCCAGGGTGTCTGGCTCGGACGTCGTAGAGGGCACTTGCTTGTGCACTTACGTAGCCCCGCCCACTGTGTTTGTTTTCCATAGGCTGCCATGCATAACGGGCCCTCTCTTTAACACCCCTACATCTGTATGCATGTTGAACTTCTTTTGCACCATACATTGTAAACCATGCTAATCAGAGGCACGGGGGGAAGGGCAATAAACTAAACATAAAAAGCAGTTCGAAAATAAATGAGTTTTCAATTTGGATTTAAACGTGCAGCGCTCCAGTGGCTTCCTAATATCGGAAGGAACAGCGTTTCAGGCAGCCGCAGAAGCGCGTATGAACGCACGCGATGCAGTGACTAACCAAGTGTTAATCGGAGCTGCGGGGCCAGAGGGGAAAGACATCAAACTAAACACGAAATGCATTTCTAAATCAATGAGTTTTCAATTTAGATTTAAAAGTTTCGTAGCTCCAGCAGCTTCCTAATATCGGAAGAAAGAGCGTTCCAGAGGGCCGCAGAAGCGTGCCTGAACGTGCGCGATGCGCCCAAGCGGAGAACGGCGAGTCACCCGTAGTGCCGCGAGCCGAGGTTCGATGGCAGCACGCGGCTGATGGAGTCCATCATCTGCTCGCGTTTGCCCAAGTAGAAGTACGCATCGTGCGCGAACTTGAGAGCAAGCAGGTCCTTGGGGTGAGCGTGCAGGATGCGCTCCCACGCCTGGCACGCCTCCCACATGCGCCTGCAGCAGAAGCAGCGCGCGCGCGGCGTGAGCGGGCATCTCGATAATGTCTCTTGCCCTGTGTGTGTAATCGTAGCGACGTGCGTGTCACGCGGTGGAGTTGCGTGGCGCGGGGCACCAAGGGCAGCGTGCGTGCATGTCTGCGTGCGAGCGAGTGAACGAGCGAGCGTGCGGTCACCCGTCTCCGAACAGCTGGATGGCGCGCGCGTGCTCCCGCTCCCTCTCACTGAGCTTGTCGCCACCCTGCTGCGCCACCAGCGACGACAGCCGCTCCAGGTTCCCGCGCAGCCCCGGGTCGGCGAGCGCCTTCCCCGTTCCCATCAGCTCCAGGCCGCTGACCAGAACCCCTCCCATCACTGTCAGTAACCACACCATGGCCGCCCCCACGCCACATCGACACCGTTAGTAACCACACCACGCGGCATCGACGATGAAAGGCCACACCTTACGACACAAAATCGCGCACCTCCGATTATCACGGTTGGCTAAGTACGACGCAAAATTAGGTCAACATACGTGCGTGCGTGCATGCGTGCGTATACGCACCGCATTGAAAGGCCGTTCAGATCGGACTTGCACAAAAAACAGGAGGATTTCTGCACAAATCTGGCAGTCTCCTGACGAGGCTGGTTGCAATTCCCGACAAAACGTCACGGTACTGGAATTGCAAATGTTGTGGGTTCACTCTCCAACACACTGGTGTGCTGAACTCGTAACTAGAATCGCCATGTTTTGTTGATGTGACAATCCTCACTAATTGGCTGTGTCGGGTGGTGGCGGGTTTAACGACACTTTTATATATACGAGACCTAACCCATGAAAATCTCCAGTAGCGTGCGACTGTGGTCATCCAGAACAGACCGTAACAATGTATAACGACAAATCCCAAGGAACGACATCACATCGATACACTCTGCTCTTCCTCACACGGTTGTCTGCTGCCTGACCCACATGAATGTGAAATTGTAGGTGTTGCTCTGCATCTACATCAGCCGTTCGAAAGATGAAGATCATTGCTCAGACTCACATTGCCCATAAACTAACATTGCCCATAGAATAACATTGCACAAAATGTAAAATGTAAAACTCTACAGTGTGCGACTGTGGTAATCTGGAACGGCTCGTTCAACAGAGAACAACGCAATGCCCTATCCACAAATACGGAGGGAGACATCACAGCCATACACGCCACTGCTCCCGACGAGGTTGTCCGCTGGGTCGACCACCTGCACGTGAAACATTTTACTTGTTGCCCTGCAGTCTACATCAGCAGCCGTACGACAAGACGACGCAGAAGACGCACCGAAGTCTGGGTCGGCGAACACGAGCCTGGACATCGTCCCCTCGAGACCGCCCAGCGAGGCGTCGTTGAACCAGCCCATGTACTGCGCACGGCACAGCGCACGCGTGGCACAACATAAAGACAAACGCACACAAGCACCGTGCGGTGAACACACGCCGAGCACGCTCGCAGTATGCAACCCATGGTGCACCAAAGACAAACATCGGCCGTACAGCCCCTTCAACAGGATATGTTCGGGCGAGTGCTGCAAGCGACCAACTATGAATGCCCGCACTGCACGCTCGGAGGTGGGTGGCCAGCACCACGCCTGGCTGCCCTCTGTGCCTCCCCCTCTCGACCACTGGGATTGGTCGCGAGTGAGAATGGAACACGGGCCCGGCCGAGCCGAGCCGTGATTGAGACGGGCTTCAGAGGGCGATGTTGGCACCCCCCGCCCCACCCTGGTTCTCTCCTCCCCGTCTCTTTCCTTCCCCCAGTATGTTAGTTATCTTTCCCCTTTCACCTCCCCATATAAACCTTCATGTCCCCCTCTGCCCCCCCCCCCCCTCCAGCACGTGGTCCCCACCTGGGTGGGGCAGCGAGCCCAATTTCCCCCCCCCGCCAACTCTCCATTGGGGAGCACCTGCAGCGCCGAGATAGGGACGCTTGCTGTCCGCGGAGTTTCATCCCCCCCCCGCCCGCCCCTCTCATCTCCGTTCTGTGATCAGCGTTTAGTACCGGCGGACGTCGGGCAAGAGAGGGAGGGGGGGGGTGCGAGCGACTTACCTGCTGGAGGGCCGCGTCGTACATCTTGCACGCCTCGTTGCTCGTCGTGGCGAGCGGAAGCCCGTCAGCTTTCCACGCCTGGATGTGGACGACAAGCGCCGCTCGCACGGTGATCGACACATTCGACTTGCTGTATGTTGGACTTCTTTCGCACCCTACGTAGACAACCGTGCTAAAACGGAGGTGCGGGGAAGGACAAACTAAACACAAAAAGCTGTTTTAAATAAATTATTTTCTGTCTATGGGGCCGTCCATAAATGACGTCACGCACCTGGGGGGGGGGGGGGGGGGAGTCAGACATTTGTGACGATGTGTGACGAGAAGGGGGGGGAGTTTGAGAAATGTGACGTCACATCAAAATGCGCAACTTTGAATAAATATAGAATTGTTATAACACTAATTGTTATAACAACACTCCTACAACATCAGAGTTCAGCGCCACATTAAATACGCACTACAATGACAATAGTTTAGAGCAATTTGAAGCATGTTTTATTTTCAAAATGGAAATATTAATATTTGAGGGAGTGGGTCTGACTTTTTGTGATGCCGTGTGACGAGGGGGGGGGGGTCAAAAATCGTTCAAAATCGCGTGACGTCATTTATGGACGGCCCCTGAACGATGACACTGGTGGTTGGTGAGTGTCAGGTGACCGGTTTCTCCTGAACTCACTAATCGCTGTGTGCTGGGTCCATACCAAATGCCTGTGCACAACAATTTTTCTTTAAAGTGAACACAGCTGTATTTGACTATAGTCTGTGAAATTCACACACTGTGTGCATTAGTGGCACTGCACAAAGAGAACATGAGCATGCATGTATTTAGTTTGTTGTTCAACATGCTAAGCACTGGAGTGTGCAAATACAAAGCTCCCCCGTATAGCCTTAATCAATTGTTGGGGCAAATGCTGTTAGCGAGCACCTCTGAAGGCCGAAACGGCACACGAGGGGGTGGGTGGCCAGCACCACGCCCGGCCGCCTTTGTCTCCCCAGTGGCGATGTTTGCACACCGCACCAGGTACTCATTTGAGGCCGAGTCGACGTAGGCGAGGCCCATGACCGGGTCAGATAATCGTCACTGGTGTTGGCCGTGAGCGGCAATCGAACTCGGGTCCCCGGGGTTCTTAGTGGAGTGACTTATATGAAGTCACTATGGTGTTTAGTGACAGTAGCTGGACATCTTGAGTCTCTCTCTGGCACCAGAGTGGATATGGCATGGAAGCGGGCCCTAGGGGGCATAGTTCTGGTGAGGGTCAGAGAGAGAGAGAGAGAGCAAGTGAGGACGTGGCAGTCTGTGTGAACCCTAGAGGTCACGTGCCCGGGGCAGGGTAGCAAGGGGGCCCCCAAAACGGGCATCGAGGGACACGTGAATTGGCCCAGAGCCTTCTAGTAGGATCTAGAAGGGGGCCTGGCCGAGGGTGGAGCCAGGCTACGCTCAGGAGCATCAAGGGGTAGTCCCGAGAGGTTCTTGGCTCTCTGTTGGAATGGAACCCGTCAGTGATACGTCTCTTCGGTCTTCGATGTTACGCTCGGCATTGTGGGTCAGGCAGTGTGTGACTGACCGACCCGGTTATGTAGTTACCCCGTTGTGGTCTATTTAACCGTGTAGTCATCTCCTAGATGTAGAGCCAATGTACGTTTATGTAGTTAGCCCTGTTGGGGTGTTGTAATAAACGTGTTGCCTCAAACTCCAGTGTGTGTCTCCGTACAACACACTACATTAGCGCAGAGCGCTCACCGCCACCCATCCCACCGTGTACCGTGCCGGCCTTCATAGGTGCCGCTCCCTAACGGCACTTGACCCAACAGTCTTAAGGCTACACGGGGGATCTCCGCTTTTGTACAAGCTTCGGCGAGCGATCGTTTAACCCCTTGGCTTCTCGTTGCCAGGGGCGGCCGAGTGCGAGTGGTGCTCAAAGAGCCAAGCGGAATGTGCCTGGAGCAGGAACCAGCGTGCTTTTTTACTCCACAGCCATAACGTAAATCCAGCTAGGGGCCAGCTTTCTTGACTTATTCAATCTTTGTTTTGTTTTGTTACCAGGTAAGGCCCAATGAGCTGTGGAGCTCTTTATCAGTAAAAGCGACCTGGCCACAAATGATAGCTCAACGAAGTGGCTTATCATGATGAAATTTATAGAAGCCAAATACTCGTAAACAAATGTTTCTGAATGTGGAAGGAAGAACCGGAGAAATATTCCACGCGACCATGGGGAGAGAGACACGCAAACTCCAAATACACGTGCGTCAGGGTCGGGATCGAACCCACGACCTCGTGTATACCAGGCGAGGTAGTCAACATCTCCTCGCCACCGTGGCACCCCGATAATTATTCTGATGAGGGCCACTTTTGCCGATAAGATATCGTCAGTGTGAGGGTCGCCACAAATTTGAAACCATTGGGGATTTGATTGACAAGCACGATGATGATGATTGGGGGGGAAGGGGTGTCACACGTTGTGTATCGTCGGGGGCCACACGCCAGGAGCCACTAGAGGCTCGCGGGTCCTTGCAATGAAGAACACTGCGCGAGGCAGTAGTGGCTACTACGCACGTGGCCTGGTACTGGTAGGAACCTCCTGTTCTTGGTTCTTTCGGTAAAGTCACGTATAGGGGAAATAATAAAAATATATTTTTTAATTTTATTATTTCCCTCCTACGTGACTTTACCGAAAGAACCAAGAAGATGAATCCCTGCAGTCACGAAAGCTTTAAATAAAAAAAAAGGAACCTCCTGGTTACACCAGCCCACAGGGGATTACTGTGTCCGACCGTCCGTCGTGCAGGGAAGGGCTGGGTGGGGAGGGGAGGGTGGGGTGGGGCTGGGTGCGGAGGGGCTGGGTGGGGAGGGGCTGGTCACCCCGTGGTGCCCTTATAAAACTCAACGTTTAACCTACTCACGCCGGCTTGTGCCCGCCCTCAGTCGGGCATATTTGCAGAATACACCACGCCGCCGTTGACCCTGGCCATTGACCAAGCAACCCAACGTTCCGACCAGCTCCCTCCGCAGCAGGAATGTGTTCCAGCACCGTGGAGGCAGCAGCGAGGGGATGGTGGATCACCACCACACGGATGTTGCGTGAAACTCACTTTCCGTGGGCGTCGAGGTGCCCGTACCGTGGCTTGCCACAAGTAATGCGGTACAGCAAAACACGGGAACCAATCTCCATCTTTTCCATCCGTACGGGATAGGGCGTTTCCCCCTCGCAATTATGCGAGGGTTTTCTCCGAGAGCTCCGTGTTCCAGCCAAAACTGGCTCAATCCCAGCTTAAATAGTCGCTCCAAGCCTGGGGTGTGTCATTCAGACTCTGTCTTCTCGACAGACCTGTTCTCCACCTGAGGACGGCTGCTTGCGTTGTGGCCAAAACGCCGTGAAAATTATTTTATTATGTTTAATTTTTATTATTTTATTATTTCCATTCTACGTGACTTTACCAAAAGAACCAAGAAGATGAATCCCTGCAGTCACGAAAGCTTTAAATCGAAATTTAATGTGTAGAGAATCGCAGAGCTTTGAAAATTGTTCGATGCACACAAGGACCGCCTGGCTGTCGCCCCACAAGTAGTTGCGATTCCTCCTCGCGGCTCCGAGTCGAGAAAAGAGCTTCATTGCTCATCGGATTCCCCCAATATAAATATTCTGATTCAGACTCTTCTACACCGCACCCGTCCATCTCTTCTGTAGCCCGTGCCCCGCCGGTTTAGCCCCCCTTATCCGGCCAAACAGAAGCTCCTTGGGCATGCGGTGTCTGGGCATGCGGGCGACATGGCCGAGCCTTTCCTCGCCTGCCGCAAGAGAGCTCAAATGACGGAACTTTGTCCGGACCTTTCAATGATTTGTGAACTCCTCACACAATCCAGCCCGGTTGATCGTAGGCAAGACAGCCGAAATGTTTCAAACCAGTGCAGACGTTCATTTAAAAGTCTCCACACGACTCTCAAACAGAGGGATGGGAGGGCACGGCTGTGGCCGAGGAGACCCGAAGTTTTATATGGGGGAGCCAGGTGGCTTCCACGCAGCTTCCCAGATATTGGAACTCCTCCACTCCATTCCACAACTGCCCCATCACTCACGGGGAGTGGAGGGGGTGGAGACTTTGATATAAAATACCCAGGCATGTTGTGTGGTTTTTGGCCCCAGCTCTTTGTAGCATGCTCCATGTACGGATTCAACAGTACACTCTCAAAGATCCCCCGTATAGCCTTAGCAGACTGTAGGGGCAAGTGCTGTTAGCGAGCACCTATGAAGGCCGGAACGGTACACGAACAAGGGGGTGGGTGACCAGCACCACACCCGACCGCCTTTGTCTCCCCAGTGGCGATGTTTACACACCGCACCAGGTACTCATTTAAGGCTGAGTCGACCTAGGGGAGGCCTAGGACCGGTTCAGATAATCGTCACTGGTGTTAGCCGTGAGCGGGAATCGAACCCGGGTCACCAGGTTCATAGCGCAGCGTGCTAACCGCTACACCACCGCTCCCCAACAGCACACTACACACACGCAGACACTACACAACACACATACACTGCACACACTCATCACATACACTCACACACGCTGTACACTCATACACAATCTTAACACTACACACACACATACACTATCTTCTTGGTACTTTCGGTAAAGTCACGTAGAAGGGAAATAATAAAAATAAAACATACAATTATTTTTTTATGTTTTATTATTTCCCTTCTACGTGACTTTACATTTTTTATTGTTTTATTTTTATTTTTTCATTATTTCCCTTCTACGTGACTTTACCGAAAGAACCAAGAAGATGAATCCCTGCAGTCACGAAAGCTTTAAATCGAAACACATACACTACACACACATACACTGCACACACACACTCATGCACCGCACACACTCTTACACACACGCAATTAACTCACCTGGCAGTCCCAAAGCTGAGCCACCTCCATGGTTGAGTACCACAGTCGGCACACAGCTACAGTCCACGCTGCTGCAGTCTACGCAGTCTAAGGTCCACACACACACACGGGCTTCAGCACACAACAGGCGACAATCTACAGAGCGACCGTACACACCCCGCAGGAGTGAGTCTATAGTCCACGGAGTCTACAGTCCAGACTCCAGAGTGCACACAATCCACACAGCGGCAGTACAAGAGAGTGAATGTCCACCTACAGGCTACAGCCTACGCCGCCACGCACTGAACGAGCCCTGGAGATGCTCACTGCCGCGATGGATGGAGCCCAATGTGCCCCCGACGTCAGCAAGGGGCTATTTATAGGCGCAACAAGACCACGCCCCTCGCGCGTGATTGGTTGCTGGAGGGTCCACGCCTTCCACTCACCATGCTTAAGCCCCGCCCCCACGTGGGGGAGGAGGGGGGGCTACGTGTATGGGGGGGCAAACCAACCCCTATGTGGGGGGGGGGGGGAGGGGCATGCTGACCCATAACACTGGTCAACAAAAAAAAACAATAACACTGGTCAACAAAAAAAAACAATAACACTGGTCAACAAAAAAACAATAACACTGGTCAACAAAAAAAAAAACAATAACACTGGTCAACAAAAAAAAACAATAACACTGGTCAACAAAAAACACATTTACACTGGTCAACAAAAAAAAACATTTTTTTCTGGCCTGGACTTTTGCAGCTGCTTTAGACTAATTTCAGGGTGCTGATTCCAAATCTGATCTCAGATTTGCTCTATCACATCTCATTTCTATGCTATCGGCATACCCCATTTTCATTGATTTTACCAGAAATGAACTTTGTCGCTTATGATTGCAAGTTGTTGCGAGTCAGTGACTGCTTTAGTGTTATAATATGGTGCTGTATTTTTAGGATAGTGTGTTTATAATATAATTTTATGTAGATATCCACATTTATTTCATAGTTTTCTTCTGCAGTTTTTATTGAAAATGATGTGATAGACAAAAACTGATGCCAGATTTGGAATCGGCACCCCAAAATTACCTTAAAACCGTTGGAATACCTTATGCCTGAAAAAGTGTATTGACCAGTGTAATCATATCAGAATCTTTGTTTATCCTGGAGGATGCCTACGTGGTGGTGAGGAAGGGGGGCATGCCACCCCCCCCCCTCCCCACGCTTCTTCTATCGTGTGGCATGGAAGCCGCAGTTTGTTGTATCGCGGTCGTAGTTGAATGGTCAAGGTCCTTCAATCAATCCAAGGCGGCAAGTCGATGCTGTGTGGATTGCAGCGATGAAGCCAAGGGGAGGGGGGGTGTGTGCATGAGTGGCGCATTCGTCGACGATGCGTTTGGTGGTTTGGGCTTCACCACAGCCGCAGTTTGGTGATTCTACGATTTGCCATTGATGGAAACACGCTGTAACAACCACAATAGCCGCAAAAACACTGTCTCTTCCTTCCTCCACACATATGACCATCGGCAAACTGTGTGCTGAATATATATTTACAACATCCCATACTGGAGGAAGGGCCTTTGCTATTGATGCCCCCAGGGTCTGGAATGCTATTGCCAATAAACTGCAACTTGAATCACTACCTATGAGATCTTCACTCAAAACTGCCCTAGAGGAGTTGTACACCCATAGCTGCCACTGCTATTCAGTGGCCTAAAATAAAATGTTTCGCTCCGGGTGATCGCTGAAAAGTATGACCTGTGTTTTGATTTAGTGTGCTGATCTTAAAGGTGCATTGAATTTTTTTTATACTCCGACTGATGCTCCTGCTGTTGTGGAGTCAGCTATGGCTGCAGGGTTTGGTAGTACATGTTGTTTATGTCGTTTTATTGTGAAAATTCGGTCACAGTTCCTATAATCACTGTTTCATTGCTTTAATAGCTTTATTTTTGGTGATTTCGAAAAGTTTTTTGGTTTGGCCATGTTTGTTTGCTGTAGTACGGAGTTAGACTGGTGGCCTTAATCTAAGTTGTCTTGTGGTTGTTGTTGTTGTTTTACTTGCATCCCACTGGGATTTTTGCACACAGTGTTGGTGTACGGTGCTTTTTCTGCAATATTTTGCTGTCTTTTCTCGGATTTTCTGTTTGCACATAGTCACATAGTCACTTTAAGATGTTTTCTTGTTCATGTTTTTTTTGTTGCGGTTGCACCCGATTCAAGAGCCGAATGGCTCACAGGGCTATACCTAATAAATGTACTTGAACATGAACTTAAGCCACACGGCCTTCCTTCTGGGAGTGCGTAATTCAGCAGCATTCGTTCAACGCGAGCAAAACTCGGGATCGGTTTCGACGTTCAATGTCTCATCAGCAGGCCTGCCGGTCTCGCTTGGATCCGTGCTGGTGAACTGCCAGGTGATTTTATTGGCAGGCATCACCGTCCTCTCCGCTCGATGTTGGGTCGTACGCAGCTTGACGATGAGCGCGTGAGTGAGTTATTCCAGGCTTGGAGACTCACCTCAGCTAACCCGGAGCAAATTGTGGGAGACCAGGCGGTGCAAGGCGACAGGCGAGGAACAGAAGCATCTGAAACCGAACTGCGGACCCAATGAGGCAAGAAACGCTGCTTCACAACACGCGGAGTCCTTATTTAACGCGTTAGACACGTTCCTGAAAAGCGTCGCGTTAAGCGAATATTTATTCCCCAGGACTAATGTGGCGATAAAGTTCGGCGAGATACGAAGTACTACACACACACAGTACTTATCGTACTGCTCAGCTGCTAAGCTCAACAAAGTATTTCGCCGTAAACTGCTCAGAAAACGTGTTATAACGGTGCGCGTACTGCGTTAGAACGAACACATTCTTCGTTGTGCGAAAAGTGTACCCAAATAAAAGTATGATTCCAACAAAAAGGTCAAGTTTTATATTTATTATGATATATATGTACATACACATAGGCCAATATACAACCGATTATATAAACCTTTAAACTTCGTGTCATTTTTTTTGTTTGGTACTTAGAGGCCCCTCCTAATGCGAGGGCCTCAGCCAGGGGTCAGCGACCTGCGGTTCCGGAGCCGCATCGCGGCTCTTTAAGGAACTTCTCCGTGACATTATTTATGAAAGACCACCGTCCCGTACCCACATGGATTGCTGCTCTGGAAATAACGATTATTTTTTTACCGACTTCGAAAAAAATGCCACTTCTTGTTATTCTGGTGGCCGTCCCATGGGTCCTCTAGCTTACTTAACCGATGCCTAAATCCGGCACGGTCAATGGGCAGTGTTGGTTGGAGTCACGACGTGTGCCCCTCTCTCCTCTGGGTTGACGGGTCGGTAGAATGTGTTGCGTTAAGTTTTTTGCGAATTAAAGGTTTAGCCGTAGTTTTCGCCATCTGGTTAAGCGATCAAACTTGAGCTGTAATAAAGTTTGCGCTCATTTTCCGCGCCGCGTGCGCCAGTGCAGCGTCGCGCCCCGTGGTGGCAACTGGTTTTGGTGTCGTTTTAAGACGGCGTTCTTCACTCATTTTCAGAGGGGGGTCAATTCCGCCGATAAGACATCGTCAGTGTGAGGGCCGGCACAGCATTTGAAACCATTGGGGTTTGATAGCAGCACGATGGGGCCGTTTTCACACGTCTCTTGTAGCCCAAATGTCAGAAGATAATGATAATGTAAATAGTGGACAGCCAACCCAACGGTGGTTGGTTTTCCACCAATCAAAAGTTAAAATTAGCATGTTAATGAGAGATTAGCATGTTAATGGGAGATCGCAGAGCCGCAACCAAGGGGTCGGCGTGCAAAGTGGCTGGGAAAGTGCAAGTTTGAAATGGGCGTAAAGCACAACTAACATCGGAAGGTGGTAGGATGGGAACATCATAGCCAATTATGACTTAAACTGGTTGATAACGTCCTTCTAATGATTGCTCAGTTTGTCTGTGTCTAAATATATGGATGGCTTAATGAACGAATCTTTGTTGATAGCCAGTGGGCTTGCAAAGTACCTTCGTCATAGAGAAATCAATTTCGTGTGAGCCCACCGCATTAAAACAATGATTAGCCAAAGCCGAGGTATTAGTCCTACCGTGTTTCAGATCTGCCTTATGTTCGCGAACACGGTCCGAGACATGTCTCTTAGTTTACCCAATGTAAATACTGCCGCCGACACAGTTTAGTTTGTAGACGCCAGGGTATTGCTTGTCAGGGATCACATCCTTCACAGATAGGATCAGATCACGAATTTTATGTACTGTGTTAAATCGAACCTGGATCTTGTGTTTGCTCATGATTTTGGAAATATTTTTAGTGACCCATGCTATGTATGGTAAGGTGATGGCTTTGATTGGGTCCTCAGATGTTTTTTTCCCAACGGTTGGGGTGATAGCTTTACGGATTGTGTAGTCTGAATATCCATTCATCTTGAGAGCTTGGTGTACATGTTCCAGTTCACTGGCTAGGTGATGACGGTCTGAAATACATTGAGCTCTATGGTGTAGAGTTTTGATGAGGGAATTCTTCTGAGATGGATGGTGGTGGGAGTCAGGATTTAGGTAGGAATCTGTATGGGTGGCTTTTCTGTAGAAAGAATGTCCCATTGAGCCATCTGGTCTATTTTTGATTAAAACATCCAAGAATGGTAACTTGCCATCCTTTTCCACCTCCATGGTGAATTTGATGGCTGGGTGTATGGAATTGATGTGGTTGAGGAATTGGTTTAGAGCTGGTCGACCATGCGGCCAGATGACGAACGTGCCATCTACGTACCTCTTCCACAAGGACGGATGCAGAGTGGATGCCTGGATGGCATCTGTCTCAAATTTTCCCATGAAAACATTGGCTACAACTGGATATAAGGGAGAACCCATTGGGGTACCTTCAACTTGTTTGTAGAATGTTCCATTCCAGGTGAAGTAAGTGTTGGTGAGGCAGTGTCTCACCAGGGCCGGTACATCAGCATTCAGTCCTTGTTTAACCAAATCTTCAATGATTGCAATGGTATCAAGCACAGAAACTTTGGTAAACAAAGAGACCACATCAAAACTAATGAGCAAATCACCTGGAGATAGTGAGATGTCCTTAATTAATGACACCAAGTGAGCTGAGTTGAGTACAGCTGAGGTGGTCTTACCAGTGAATGGTTGTAAGGTCTCAGACAGAAATCGGGCCAGTTTGTAGGTGGGTGAGTCAATGGTGGAGATGATAGGATGAAGGGGTGTCCCTTCTTTATGGATTTTTGGTAAGCCATACAATCTGGGTGGTCTAGCAGCAGAGGGTTTTAAGGAAAACCGCTTGGTTGGTTCGATCAAAGATGTCGAATCAGTGATGATATTGTTGGTTTTTGTAACGAGGCGGTTGGTGGGATCTCTTTTAATTTTGGTATAGCTACCATCATTAATTAGGTCCTCAATTTTGTTATTGTATGTGGTTTTGTCCATGGTAACGGTGGCATTGCCCTTGTCGGCTGAGAAAGCTCAAAGCGCTCATCCTTACTGATGTTGCTAATAAGTGTATTAGCGTTTTTGAGGATTGCAGCGATTTCCGATCTTGCCACGTCTGCAGTAATGTGTCCCAATGATATCATCACACATTAAACCATTTAGTATTTTCTGGAGTTCACACCAAAAATATGACTTTCGTTAACACCCGATTAACACGAAGTCACTGGCACGCTACAGAGAGTATAACTCATCTCACAAAGTACAACTGTGAAATTTCTCTCGAGAGAAGCAATAAGAAGAATTTAAAAGCCTTCGACTGCCTCCCAAAATACACGAGAAACCCCGTCGCATTTGGGAAGAGCTTTGTTCTCTATTACCTGCGCATGAACCTACACCTCAAGAAAAAGCCGGCAACTTGCATGACAATAGGAATCACCGCCTGCAATACGTTTTCCAGCTGGGAATTATGATTTTCCATCACGTCGCTCTGCACTGTAACTTGCTCCTGGATGCTCTTGATCTTTTCGTCGAATGCTCGATTGTTTTCCTGTGGATAAAAAAAAACAGCCAACATGTAACGATCCCCGGCTTTTGATGCCGCAGCGCAGAGTGAGAAAATACATCCGATGCAACCGAGGTGCCGTACCGATGCCTTTAGGCACACTGTGCTTTTACTGATTGTAATTATTTTGTTAAGTTAGACGAATGTAGATATATGGGAATCTGGGTGCAATGTCGATATGACGATGCAATTTGTAACGCACGAGATATTTCACAGACCACAACTGTGAGGAAGCGAAGCTCGGCTCAGTGTCGCTCGAAAGCCAGAGATGAGGGAGGGAGCCTTCATGAAAGTGGTGAGGCCTTTGAGAAAGTGGTGGAGCCTTTGAGAAAGTGGTGGAGCGTTTGAGAAAGTAGCGGGGCCTTTAACAAAGTGGTGAAGCCTTTATGACAGTGGTAGGGGCCTTTTAAAAAGAGCTGGGACCTTCACGAAAGTGCTGGTGCCTTTAAGTGCCTCTTACAAACCACTGTAGATTGGAATTTGGGAAAGAGATGCAAAAATACTTTGGCTGTTACAGGAACAAAACAAAAACCGGTGAGTGGTGAAGCGGAAGAAGCCACGCACATAAAATACCGATGGTCCAAATTATTAGCGCATTTACTTATCACGCATATACGTGTAACGTTTTTTTTTTATCATTTATATACATTTAATGTACTTTTCCTCTGAAGGCAGCGGGATTTGACGAATGCATTGAATTCTTTTAAAATTTACATTCACTAACAAACAGCAGAGGGCAGGGCGCAGCCTTCGTCGTCGACACAGAAGCAGCGTTTATCGGGTTGCCACAGCGGCGAGATGTTAACTACCTCGCCTGGTATACAGGAGGTCGTGGGTTGGATCCCAGCCTTGAAGCCTGCTGCATATTTGCAGTTTGCATGTCTGCCTGCCCGTGGTCGTGTGGATTTTTATCCAACTCCATCGGTTTTTCCCTCCACATTTACAAACGTGCGTTTAGAGTATTTGGCTGCAATACATTTCCACATAATGATAAGTCCACTTCGTTGGGCTATCATTTGTGATCGCTAGGTTGCTTCTGAAAAATAGCTACGTAGCTCAGTGTAGGCCTTACCTAGTAAAATATAAAAAATAGTTAAGTTTTTAGTTGTTTGGTTTTGTAAATATTGCGGGTTTACTCTCCAACACACCGGTGTTGCTGATCTAGTAACGAATTTGAACTTTTTATTCACGTGACAAACCTTACTAATTGGCTATCTCGGGTGCTGGCGGGTTTTATGACACATTTATAGATTTGAAGTTTTCGTGACTGCAAGGATCCATACTCTTTGGTTCTTTCAGTAAAGTCACATAGATGAAAAATTTAAATAATAAAAAATAATAAAATCAAAATGTAGTTATTTTCATTTTATTACTTTTTATTATTTTTATTTTTCATCTTCGTGACTTTACCGAAGAACCAAAGAGTATGGACACATTTATACTTATGCGATCTAACCCCCCCAAAAAAACCTGTATTATGGATAACATTGGCCGCGAAAGCCTACGACTACTACGCGTTAAAACTGTTCAGTTTAGCTGCCCATAGCTGGCCCCTCACCTCCATCTGCTCCCGCAGCGCCTGCATCTGCGCTTGCTGCTGAGTCTTCTTCTGCTCCAGCGCTCGCTTCTCAATCTCCAGCTGCTTCTCCAAGCTCTCCCGCTCTGTGAAGTGAAAAAACAAAAACAACTGAAGGCATCGGCTGCCAAATGCACCTCTTGTCTTTGCTGGACGTACGTGAATGAGGAAGCTTTACACGCTCGCAGGGTTCCTCCGGTGTAGATAAATATTAACAAGAAAAATATGTACAGTCTATTCTTTGGGTCTTTCGGTCTTTTTTTTTCAGCCTGATGACGACCGCTTTGCGTTGCAATCGAAACGTCGTAGTTTTTTAGTTATTTTATTTGAACCGATCTACGTGACTTTACCGAAAGACCCAAAGAATATGAATTCCTGTAGTCACGAAAGATGCTGGATGCAATTACCAGCGAAACGTCGTACTCAAATTATAAATGTTGTGGTTTCACGCTTCAACGCACCGGTGAGCTAAAGCAGTGAACTATTTGTCTTTGTCAACGTGACACTTTTTTACTGATTGACCGTGTTGGGTGGTGGAGGGTTACGACACATTTATAAATAACGCAATCTAAACCCAAAAACGTTTATTATGAAGATTCATGTACAGTCTGTTCTCGTAGAACTCGGGAGTAGTTGTGTTCCTGAAGGAGGAACGCTCTATCCCGTACGTATGCATGCTGAACTTCTTTCGAGCTGTACGTATCCAAACCGCGTGCTCATCGGAGGTGTGCACGTTTAGCGCTGCGAGGGCACGGCCCGTCGAGGAGGCCCTCGTCAAGAAGGCCCTCGATGGCCCAGAGACGAGCTCGAGAACTCACCGAGCCTCGCCCTCTCCGCCTGGGAGATGGCTTTGTCCAGCAGCAGCAGGTGGGACCTCCCTTCCTCCTTGCTCTTCATGAAGTCCACGAGGACGCTCTCCTTCTGCGAATAACCCAGGCGCATATATATTTTTTAAAACGATGATTTCCTGAAAAAATCTTTCTCTTTTTTTTTATCGGAGGCAAATGTGCGGGGCCCCGACACACCGCGTTGCGACGCACGTGTGCGCGCGAGCGCACCGTCAACGTAGGCCGAACAGCTTATGAAAATTCTAGATTTGAAGCTTTCGTGACTGCAAGGATTCATATTCTTAGGTTTTTTTCGGTAAAGTCACGTAGGTAAAAAATTTAAATTAATAAAAGTAAAATAAAAATAAAATAAAAATCACGACGTTTCGGAGGCAACACAAGCTTCCGTCTTCAGGTGGAACCGTCACAGCACGACAGCGGTATCAAGTGTGAAAAACAGGGGGATATAGAAAGATGGGGAATGGGTTCGCTGCCCCCCACCGAGGGGGGGAAGGGCAACTTTGGTCTTATACAGTAAGAGAGAAGGGATGACAAGGGGAGAGAGGCACATAACCGACACACATGCCTGACACGAAGACAATCGTTTCAACATAAGAGGCGGCCAAAAACGAGCGTTTTTTCTTTCCACCCCTCCGAATCCAGCTCCCGTCTCTCCCACAATGGTTATGCTTCTTGTCCCCCGTCCCAGTCTCTCGACCACCTCCATCCCGCTAACTTATTTGAGGTGGTGTATAACGGGGGGGGGGAGAGTGGACCATCTGGGCTCGAATTCCTCCTCCTTTCCCTTGAGCTTATGGCTCAGGTGTCCAATTCCATGCGGCGTCATAAGCGTGCTGCACCGTTGTTTCCCGGTGGGTGCTTCGTGGTTCTTCCACTTGGTCAAAATAACCTTCCGGGCGATGATATTGAAAGTTTGGAGGCGATAAAATCTTGTTGTTGTTGTTTTATTATTATTGTTATTTTAATAACAACAACAATAAAAGTTTCGTACCAACTTTAAGTTTGTAAAAAATAATATCATGGCGGCAGTGGGGCGTAAGCACAATTAACGATACAAGAGCAGGGAAATACATAACGGGCGACGTTTCAGGTGATGCTCCTTCTTCAGAGCACGCAATTGAATGTTTTTGACTAATGTGTTGAGTGTTTTTGTGTTGTAGAGGGTGATAACATCACCGCAAAATGTATATGCACCATTTTTAATGAACTTATATTCAGCCGACTGAGATGAATAAATAAATAAATCTCATCATGAGGCCTCCTTTGCCAGTACCAAAATATAATAATAGGGTTTTTACCCTTTTTTCTGGCGACAAAACTGAAACCTTGTGCAAGGAATCATGTTTACATTAAGCACAATACTTGCAGTCAAAATGCAACACCGATCATTTATGCATTGTTTTTGAAACTGATTATGAAAAAGGGGAAAAACCCTATTAATAAATAAATCTCTCTAAAAGAAGCACAAACAGCAAAAAAGTTATCGCCTTGGTGATTAGCGATCTCGTCACCGTAAGCGCCGCGCTGGCCAAATGTTATCTCCTTCGCTTGGTATGCAGGAGGTCGTGGATTCGATCCCGAACCACAACGCCTACTGCTGTATATTTGCAGTTTGTGTGTGTCTCCGTGGACGCGTGTGATTTTTCTCCAGGTCCTCTAGTTTTTCCCTCCACATATAGAATCAACGTCACACGTTAAGAGAATTTGGCTGCTATGAATTTCCACGCAACAAGCCACTTCGTTGGTCTATCATTTGTGGTCAGGTCACTTATTAAAAAGAGCTATATAGTTCAGTGGGCCTTACCTAATCAAATACAAAGTTTAGTTTTAGTATGGGTATCGATGAGTATATGGGTGTCTGAGTCTCCATGGGTCTCTGAGTATGGGTTTCTGTGGGTCTCTACGAGTATGTGTCTCTATGGGTCTCTGTGGGTCTCTGTGGGTCTCTATGAGTATGGGTTTTTGTCGGTCTCTGTGGGTCTCTGTGGGTCTCTGTGGGTCTCTATGAGTATGGGTCTCTATGGGTCTCTGTGGGTCTCTATGGGTCTCTATGGCTCTCTATGGCTCTCTATGGGTCTCTGTGGGTCTCTGTGGGTCTCTGTGGGTCTCTGTGGGTCTCTGTGGGTCTCTAGGAGTCTGTAGAAACACGCGTTTAGAGTATTTGGCTGCTATAAATGACCACGTGATCAGCCACTCACTTCATTTGTGGGCCAGGTCGCTTCTTAAAAAAAGAGCCACACAACTCAGGTAAACATTTTAAAAAATTGTTTAGTTTTTAGCAGTTTAGTTTTAAACGGACGCCACGCGCTGCTACCTCGTCCCCCAGGCCTTGGGTGTCGCGGTAGTCCGCCTGCAGCAGCTCCATCAGCCTCTCGTACTCCCGGAAGACCCCTTCCTTCTCGAAGGCCTCGTCCTCCTGCAGCTTCGCCCTGATGGGCCCGTAGAGTTCCTGCAGGCGCCGCTCGCACCGCAGCGCCGAGGCCTCCGCGTTGTCTTTGACCAACTTCAGGTACTCTTTGGCCAGGGCGTCCTGCGACAACAAAAACGTGACAGCTCGCGTAACGTCACACTGCGGCGGCGATGTCGAATTGGGCAAGAGAATCTCACTTACTGCTACAATTTAAGGCCCGCTGAGCTGTGTAGGGTTTTTTTTTTCAAGAAGCGACGTGGCCATCGCAGATGAAAGCTCGACGGAGTAGCTAATCGGGTGGAAATTTACGAGCAGCAAAATTATCTAAATAATTTAAACCAATGGGAAAAACCCACAGGTGAGAGGATTCTGTATGAGACCATTGCGGCCGCGTGTCGACTGTGCGACAGCTGAAGTTTGTGGCAGAAGGAAGCCACGGTGAAGTGTGATGGTGATGGCATCAATGGCAGTGGCCGCGATGACCTCTTGACCTGCGGGCTGATATGCCGCGAGAAAAGGCAATAAACACCTTCACCGGTGTGCACTCCGTTAACAACAACAACTGACTTACGCGCAGTAAAATTATATGGGGGCTGGCTATTCTGCGGACCGATCCAGGCGAAGCTTCACTCACCATGAGCTCTTTCTCGTGGCTGTGCTGCCTGTCGAGCATCGAGCGCTCGTGGAACAATTCCACGGCGTCCCGCACGCCCCGTTGGTGCAGGTGGCCGAGCTCCTCCGTTGTGGGGAGCGGCGTCAGCTCGTCCACCGTCACGGCGACGGCCGTCCTCTGGCGGTAGAGCGCCAGCGCCTCCTCCTTTGCCTGCAGGTTGGTGAGCGTGGTCACCCGCTCCAGGGCGCTCTCGATGCAGGGCACGGCGCCGTTGCGCTGCGCCGTCACGTACTGCTCCGCCAGCTGCACGAAGGCTGAGAGAGATGCGGGGAGATACGTGGAAAGAGACATGGAGAGAGATGCGGAGAAACACAGGGAGACGCGGAGAGAGAGATGGGGAGAAACGCGGATAGATGTGGGGAGAGACGCTAAGAGAGACTCGGAGAGAGACGTGGAGAGATGTGGAGAGAGACATCGAAAGAGACGAGGGAGCGCAAGCGGTGCAAGCAGAGCAAGCGACGATGTCTATTTAATTTTTTAGTTAGCTATATATTTTTTTCTTGACATGCTGCATTCTGCTAAATAAACTACTGCTGATGGTACCATCGACTTAACCCTTTCCCATTACGATTCCAGAAGAAACCGGAATAAAAACAAAAATAACCTTATCAGCAAAGTTTGGCGGCAGCTATCGTAGAGTGCGGTCGTGTCGCTACAGTTCTCTGCGGTGAGTACAATGTTTTTTTTTATTATAAAAATGCTGAGCCGCTCGCGCGTTCCGAGATTCAGCGGTGAACGGGGGACCCACCCTGAAACTTGGAGACATCTCGGAACGGGAAATGGTTTTTCCCCTTCACTTTTATAATCAACGTCACGCGTTTTGAGTATTTGGCTACTGTACATTTCCACACAATAAGCCACTTTGTTGGGCTATCATTTATGATCAGGTCACTTATTAAAAAGAGCTACATAGCTCAGTGGGCCTTACCTAGTCAAATAAAAAAAAGTTTAGTATTAGTATGATTATCGAGGAATATGGGTGTTTGGGTCTCCATGGGTCTCCATGGGTCTCTGAGCATGGGTCTCTATGGGTCTCTATGGGTCTCTATGGGTCTCTGTGGGTCTCTGTGGGTCTCTACGAGTCTTTAGAAACATGCATTTAGAGTATGTGGCTGCTATAAATGACCACGTGATAAGCCACTTACTTCATTCAGCTATCATTTGTGGGCCAGGTCGTTTCTCAAAAAAAAAATAGCTCAGTGGGCCTTACCTGGTAGAATACAAATAGTTTAGTTTATAAACCGCGACGTATGAGGAGGGGCACAGAAACTCGGCGGGTAAAAATTCCTGCACAATCAACAGAATGGTGGGTGGGGGGGGGGGAAATTTTGGGCTCACTGTGTGCTGAAATTGCCCAACCGTTAAGAATGGAAAGCGCCGCCCGGTTCGACTGTGCGTAGTCATTGACTCCCAAGAATTACAATCTCCAAGCGAGAGGTTGACACTTGGAGGAGCGCGCCGAGTGCATGCCGTGTAGTGTCATTCTGTATTTTTTCTTTCCTTGCAGAGGATTTAACAGCTGCACGGACATCCCACGCGCATGTCGCGTTGCTGTACCCGCAACGTCGCAGTGGAGTGTCCCGCTAAGACAGTGAAGATTGAGGCTGAGAAAAGTCACGTGCGTGCGCCGTACCCACGCGTCTCGGTATGGGAAAGGGATTGGGGCGCTCCTCGCGAGGGCTCACATTTGCCGGTGAGGATGGCGCCATCGATGTGCTTGCTGGTGGCTCGTCCCAGCACGTGGCCCGCGAACTCCTCCGCGGTCGTCAGGAACTCCGGGTCGAGGCTCCCGTCCGGGAGGCCCTCGAGGAACTCCAGGTCCTCCCGGTGCGTCGGCATTGGAAACACGAAGCACTTCCGATCCTTCGGGAAAAGAAGCGCGCCCCGATTGCCACGTGGTGGGGGAGGGTTCTCTCTAATCGCCAAATACGTGATGCATTATAACGGCACGCGTTCCGCATTGTAACGGCACGCGTTCCGCGTTGTAACGGCACACATATCGGAAGGAAGAGCGTTCCAGACGGCTGCAGAAGCACATCTGAAAGCACGCGATGCGGTGACCGTTTTTGTTCGACGGTGAGCCGAAAGCCTCCGCTGCTGCGAGAATGAGCGGGGTTCGCACGATAGTGGTTTACGTCCCTTGACGATGTCAGCCGAGGTGCTGTCGTTCATCTGTGGCGAGTACTGCGTGCGTAATGAGCGCAAACAAGAAAGCTTCGCACCATTAAAGTTCACCGTTTTGCCCACCGACCGCCCTTCTAAAAGAGCATCGGGCGATTCGAGTTCGATGGGCGCGACGTGCGAGGGTGCAAGACAGGTCCGGAGGATGGAGCGCGCACTCTACCTTGAAGTAACCGCACAGGAGCTGCCTCTGCTCGTTGAACCGTCGGCAGTCCGGCGTCATCCCCGCCTTGCGCATCTGCAGGCAGTGCTCCATGTACTCGTCGGCCGAGCACGGCTCTCCGTCGACGAGCAGCTTCAGCGTGAAGTCGCGCACGCAGATCACCAGCGGGGGGAAGTAGTGCTCGAAGTCCGAGCCGAGCTCGTCCTCGTCCTGTTTCACCCGCGTCCTCACGTGGTCCGTCATGTTCACCACGAAGCTGTGGCGCGAGCGGAGTGGGTGGAGCGGAGTGGAGTGGAGCAAAATGGAGTGGATCGCAGCAGGGTGGAGCAGAATGGGGTGGGGTGGAGTGGAGCGGAGTGCGGTGTAGTGGAACGGAGTGCGGTGTAGTGGAACGGAGTGGGGTGTAGTGGAGTGCGGTGTATGGTGCGGAGTGCGGTGTAGTGGAACGGAGTGGGGTGTAGTGGAACGAAGTGGGGTGTAGTGGAACGGAGTGGGGTGTAGTGGAGCGGAGTGCGGTGTAGTGGAACGGAGTGGGGTGTAGTGGAGTGCGGTGTAGTGGTGCGGAGTGCGGTGTAGTGGAACGGAGTGGGGTGTAGTGGAGTGCGGTGTAGTGGAGCGGAGTGCGGTGTAGTGGAACGGAGTGGGGTGTAGTGGAGTGCAGTGTAGTGGTGCGGAGTGCGGTGTAGTGGAACGGAGTGGGGTGTAGTGGAACGGAGTGCGGTGTAGTGGAGCGGAGTGCGGTGTAGTGGAACGGAGTGGGGTGTAGTGGAGTGCGGTGTAGTGGTGCGGAGTGCGGTGTAGTGGAACAGAGTGGGGTGTAGTGGAACGGAGTGGGGTGTAGTGGAACGGAGTGGGGTGTAGTGGAGTGCGGTGTAGTGGTGCGGAGTGCGGTGTAGTGGAACAGAGTGGGGTGTAGTGGAACGGAGTGGGGTGTAGTGGAACGGAGTGGGGTGTAGTGGAGTGCGGTGTAGTGGTGCGGAGTGCGGTGTAGTGGAACAGAGTGGGGTGTAGTGGAACAGAGTGGGGTGTAGTGGAACGGAGCGGGGTGTAGTGGAACGGAGTGGGGTGTAGTGGTGCGGAGTGCGGTGTAGTGGAACAGAGTGGGGTGTAGTGGAACAGAGTGGGGTGTAGTGGAACGGAGTGGGGTGTAGTGGAACGGAGTGCGGTGTAGTGGAGCGGAGTGCGGTGTAGTGGAACGGAGTGGGGTGTAGTGGAGTGCGGTGTAGTGGTGCGGAGTGCGGTGTAGTGGAACAGAGTGGGGTGTAGTGGAACGGAGTGGGGTGTAGTGGAGCGGAGTGGGGTGGAGTGTGTTAAGGAAACCAGGGCAGCTTCTTCCTCCCTAATCACCGCTTCCTGATATAAAAGTCGACGTTCCTGCTCGCAGTCCCTACCTGGGTGGGACAGTGAGCCCAACTTCCACCCCCCCCCCACCCTCCATTCTGTTGATTGCGCAGGAACATGAGAGATTTTGGAATTTTTACCCATCGAGTTTCTGTGGCCCTCCTCATACGTCGCGGTTTGTAAACTGTCAACAAAACTTTTTATTCCACCAGGTAATGCCCGCTGAGCAATATTGCTTCTTTTTCAGAAGCGAACTGGCCACGAATGATAGCTCAACGAAGCGGCTCATCGAGGGGAATTTTACAGCAGCCAAATACTCTCAATGCATGTTGATTATAGATTGTGTAGGGGAAAAACCGGAGGACCCGGATCAAAATCCACGCGACCACGGGGGAGAACACGCAAACCGTATACCAGGCGAGGTAGTTAACATTTCGCCACCGAAGCGGCAGTGGGCGGGGTAAAGCAATCGTCAGAGTAGCAGTCGGCGGAGGGTTCGAAGAGAGACATGGCAAAAGCAGTAGGCAGGAAAAGAGAAGGCAAACGCGATCGGCGGGGAGGACGCGGGACGGTTTTAGCTGTGGGCAGAGACGACGGAGACAAGGAGCGGTTGAAGAAGCGGTGTTGGGAAAAGGCCTGCACAGCGCCGAGTTCAAAAGGTGACCTGAACAGAAGGGGGTCCAGGGGGCGGGAATACAAAACGACGAGGAGGGAACGGCCGTAGCGCGTGAGACAAGCGATCGTCTCCGTGGGTTCACGGCATCCCGGCGGCGGCGGCAGGGGCAGCAGCGTTACGCAGCCGCGAGCGCGTTGGGAGGATACTGCAGCTGCTCGAGGCCTTCCTTGTCGAGCGTGCCCACGACGTTGTAGACCAGCGTCGTGCTCAGCAGCACGGCCATCACGAAGAGCCACGTGTCGTGCGTGCTTCCGGCCTGCGGCACAAAGAAGGGATGACGCGCCGTGCCGCCACAACAGTTTGAACGTACCGCGTTCGCAGGGCCTGTCCCCCAGGGCACGGGGAATCTGGGCGGCCGCCCCGGGCCCCGCACTTTGGGGGCAGGGGCCCACACAGTGGCGCCCTATCGCCGCGGTGGTGCCCATTGGACGGTCGCGTGGATTTTTCTCCTCCACATTTAGAATCAACGTCACGCGTTCAGAGTATTTGACTGCTGCTATCAATTTCCACGCGGCGAGCCACTTCGTTGGGCCATCACTTGTGGCGAGGCCTCTTCTGAAAAAGAGCTAGTGGTCCTTATCTAGTAAAATAAAAAAATAGTTGATATTTGAATATTTTCAGAAGTTGGGTTTTTCCCGGCCACCGCACCCACCTATGGACGGCCCTGCGTTCGAACCAACCGTCGCATTTGGAGTGGTACATTTCCACTCTGAGTGAACATTCCCATGAGCTCACGGGCCTCTGAGCAAACAAACCCGAGTTCAGCAGTAAACCCGGATTGAAGCGGAGTTATGGTGGATTCAATTTGTTGAGGACGACCAAAATCGGAGACATTCACGACTGAAGAGTAAACTTCATTCTGGCAACGGGCAGCTAGCTCAGGCCAGGTGGCAATCGGGGTAGAGCAGCGACCACCACCGCCCCCCCCCCCCGCACCTAGATTGTAAACCTCCCCCACACCTCCGATTAGCACGATTGGCTACGTACGGTGCGAAAGAAGTTCAACACACAAGAAAACATTTGCCGGCAGCGAAGCCACCGCGACAAGGGTTGGTGGCTATACCACCCCAGTGCCCGACCCCAGAACGAAATAGGGGAGAAGGGGGGGCGGGGGTTGGTTGGAGGGGGGGGGGGGCTACCACCCCCGCCCCCCACGAGAACGGACGAGGAGATCCGCCACTGACCGACTCCACATCTCCCAGACCCTCGGTGTCGAGCAGCAGCAGCCACTTGTCCTTGGACAGTGGATGGGGTCTCGGCCAGACCCAGATCCCCTTGGTGTGAGACTGCACCGTGCAGCCCAGGGAGAAGCCTGCGGTTACAAGGGGAAGAACAGACACACAAAACGCAACAGCCAAAGGTTGTGGGTGATGCCGCTGAATATTCAGCATACTGCTGCGAGCAGAGGCCGTCCCTAGGGTAGGTTCGATCCTAACCCTGGCGCCTGCTGCTGTATATTTGGGGGTTGCGTGTCTCTCTCTCTCCCTGTGGTCGCGTGGATTTTTCTTCGGGTCCTCCGGCTTTTCCCCACCACATTTAGAATCAATATCATGCTCAATCTTGATTTGAAGCTTTCGTGACTGCAGGAATCCATACTCTTTGGTTATTTCGGTAAAGTCACGTAGTTAGAAATAAAATAAATCACGACGTTTCGATCGCAACACAAGCGGTCGTCCTCAGGCGGAAAAAATATAATCCAGCAGTGGAACTGCTGAACTAGCGAGGGAGCAGCTACAATAAGAGGTTATATATGTGGCGATGGGCAAGCAAGCGGGGTCTGAGCTAGAAAGGAATTCCTGCTTTTAGAGTATTTGGCTGCTTTAAATGTCCACATTGATAAGCCACGTCGTTGGGCTATCATTAGTTATAGACCGGTTGGCTATAAAAATGAGCTACATAGCTAAGTGGGCCTTACCTGGTAAAATAAAATAAAAATTGTTTAGTAGTTTAGTTCATACCGCACGGAATGCTAAGTGTGGTGCATTGCCACTCGGGTCTCAAGTTAGAGAGGTGGCTGGCAATGCTGCAGTGCCACACTCAAGGCACCTGCTGGCAGAGGGGAATCCTCCACCAGGGGTAGCTCTAGATCTGTTGCCCCCGTAAAGCGGGGAGTGTATGGCTCGATATTTGTTGCACCTCCGATAAGCAGGGTTGGCTACGTACGGCGCGAAAGAAGTTCAACATGCATGAGTTCTATTTTTTGGCAGGCAACTTATTTAATGTATTATCGATGCATACTCTTAGTTCTTTCGGTAAAGTCACGTAGGTAAAAAATGAAATTAAAATTAATTTAAAAAATAAAATAAAAAATCACGACGTTTCGGAGGCAACACAAGTCTCCGTCATCAGGTGGGACCGTCACAGCCAGATTTGCTGCACCAAGTGAGGCCACAGCCAGATTTGCTGCACCAAGTGAGGCCACTTGATGCAGCAAATCTGGCTGTGACGGTCCCACCTGATGACGGAGACTTGTGTTGCCTCCGAAACGTCGTGATTTTTTTTATTAATTTTAATTTAATTTTTTACCTACGTGACTTTACCGAAAGAACTAAGAGTATGAATCATTGCAGTCACGAAAGCTTCAAATCTAGAAGTATTATCGATGATCGAAATGACATCAATGACATTCCATCATATAAACATGTTCAACTCCACTCACTCCCCCCTACTCCTTCACTTGATTTACAGGAAGTCGGGGTTTCGATCTCGACCCTGACGCCTGCTGTGGTATATTTGGAGTTTGTGTATCTCTCTCTCTCTCCCCCCGTGGTCGCGTGGATTTTTTTCTCCGGCGTCCTCCGGGTTTTTCCCCCCTCCACGTTTAGAATCGACACGCATTTAGAATAGCTTGGCCGCTTTCAATTTCCACTTGATAAATCACGACGTTGAGCTGTCATTTGTGGCCAAGTCGCTTCTTCCGAAAAATAAGCTAATAACTGAGTGAGCCTTACTTGGTAAAATAACAACAACAACAACAACAAAACACTCAGTTGCATTTGAATTTGTTTTGTGTGATTTGTTTACCTTTCTAAAACTTTGCGCTCCTATCGTCTCTCTGTAGTGTGTTTGTTGTTGTTACTTTCTGACCCCGTGCCCCTACTGAAAATCTGTGAACAAAACAACTTCGTATCTCACCACCCTCCCTGCCCCAGCCTCCAGCAATCCTGCCCCGCGAATTGAGGAAGTGAGGGCAGTTTGGGGCTGGTTTCAGTTTCAAGATCCTCATCCGTGCGCCGGTTCGCCCCCACCACCACTGCCGAAAACACACAATGACCTGGCACAGCACTGTAAAGAAAATATATTCGTCAATAGCACTGACCTTTGGCAACGTTTCAGGCCGTGACCCTTTTTCACAACACACACACACAAACGTCGTCTATTATGCGTTTGTGTACAATATTTTTAAGGCCAATGTCATTGTCCAATGTGTTGAGTTGAGTTTTATTAATTGTGCCAGTGCACCACTGCTAATTTAGCAGCGAGAGCATCGCCAAACAGGCTGTTGTTGTTGATGATGCTGCTTGCTACGCGCGTTTACCCAGCAAAGTCTCGCTGAATCGCATCTCCTGTTCAGGACAAATCCTGCAAAGTCTTCACGGTACGAAGAAGAAACGACCATGGTGGTGGTGTGGTGGGTGGTAGTTGTGTGGTGGGTGGTGTGGTGGGGTGAGTGGGGGTGTGGTGGGGTGGTGGGGTGTGTTGTTGGTGTGGTGGTGATGTGGGTGGTGGTGGTGTGGTGGAGTGGTGGGTGGTGTGGTGGAGTGGTGGTGTGGTGGAGTGGTGGGTGGAGTGGTGGTGTGGTGGGTGGTGGTGGAGTGGTGGGGTGGTGGAGTGGTGGTGTGGTGGTGGTGGTGTGGTGGGTGGTGTGGTGGGTGGTGTGGTGGAGTGGTGGTGTGGTGGAGTGGTGGGTGGTGGGGTGGTGGGGTGGTGGGTGGTGTTGTGGTGTGGTGGGTGGTGTGGTGGGTGGTGTGGTGGTGTGGTGGAGTGGTGAAGTGGTGGGGTGGTGGGGTGGTGGGTGGTGGGTGGTGGGTGGTGGTGGTGGGTGGTGGTGGTGGGTGTTGGTGGTGGGTGTTGGTGTTGGTGGTGGTGGTGTGGTAGGTGTGGGTGTTGGTGGTGGCAGGGAAGACACAAATATAGGACAGATCCGCGAGTACTCGAGTGCACTTCGTACCGGAGTTGGTCCCCGCGAGGCGGTTCATGAGGAACGACTTCCCCGTGCGGTACCTCCCGACCACGGCCACCACCACCACGGGCCCCGTGACGAGGCGCGACACCGCCGCTGCCGTCTCGGGCACCAGCACGAATTTGCCATCTCTGTCCGTCACGATCAGAGGCAGCGGCGCCTCGAAGGATGAGGAGGTGGAGGAGGTGGAGGGTGTGAAGAAGGAGGATGAGGAGGTCGCCATGAGGTCAGCAGCTTGAGTCGCGCGGCGTCTTCCCGTGTGCGAGCGAGAAGAGACGCGGCGACTTTGCGCAGAGGGGGGTCATTGGTGCCGCCCACTCGGCATGAAGCCCTCCCCCGTGCCCCCCTCCCCCAGCGGCCTCCCCCCCCCCCCTTGGCCTCCCCTCCCCGTGCCCCCCCCCCTGGCCTCCCCTCCCCCGTGCCCCCCCCCCGCGGCCTCCCCACCCCCGTGCCCCCCCCTTGGCCTCCCCACCCCCGTGCCCCCCCCCTTGGCCTCCCCTCCCCCGTGCCCCCCCCGCGGCCTCCCCTCCCCCGTACCCCCCCCCCTTGGCCTCCCCTCCCCCGTGCCCCCCCCCCTTGGCCTCCCCTCCCCCGTGCCCCCCCCCTTGGCCTCCCCTCCCCCGTGCCCCCCCCCCTGGCCTCCCCTCCCCCGTGCCCCCCCCCCTTGGCCTCCCCTCCCCCGTGCCCCCCCCCCTGGCCTCCCCACCCCCGTGCCCCCCCCTTGGCCTCCCCTCCCCCGTGCCCCCCCCCTGGCCTCCCCACCCCCGTGCCCCCCCCCCCTTGGCCTCCCCTCCCCCGTGCCCCCTCCCCTTGGCCTCCCCTCCCCCGTGCCCCCCCCCCCTTGGCCTCCCCTCCCCCGTGCCCCCCCCCCTTGGCCTCCCCTCCCCCGTGTCCCCCCCTCTTGGCCTCCCCACCCCCGTGCCCCCCCCCCTTAGCCTCCCCTCCCCCGTGCCCCCCCCCTTGGCCTCCCCTCCCCCGTGCCCCCCCCTGGCCCCCCCACCCCCGTGCCCCCCCCCCTTGGCCTCCCCTCCCCTGTGTCCCCCCCTCTTGGCCTCCCCACCCCCGTGCCCCCCCCCCCTTGGCCTCCCCTCCCCCGTGCCCCCCCCTTGGCCTCCCCTCCCCCGTGCCCCCCCCCTGGCCTCCCCACCCCCGTGCCCCCCCCCCCTTGGCCTCCCCTCCCCCGTGTCCCCCCCTCTTGGCCTCCCCACCCCCGTGCCCCCCCATGCCCCCTCCCCCGTTTCACCTCAGGCGCGGGGCATTCCGGCCACCGTGATGGAGGTGGGGCCCCTTGTTGTTGTTGATGTTGACACCTCTCGCGTGCTGCTGCTGCTGTTCCGCTCTCTTCCCGTCGTCAGGCGCGGTCAGCTCCGGCTGCAATCCGCTACAGACTTCGTCTTCGTCCCCCACGCGTTTGTCCCACTCGTGCGCAGACGTGATGATGATGATGCCGTGCAAAAGGTTTCTGTTTGGAGATTTAACATCTTAACGCCGCCTGCTGTATTGCCAATGTAAAGGAGAGCCGACACAAGGTTGCAGGGGGTTCGTCTTTTAATAATTTTCTCCCATCCACACCTGTCCCCAGCCGTCCCAATCTCGTTCCTTCTTCCCGCCCGTTCTCCCCTTGTATCTCCTCGATCACCCCTCCCACTAACCCTCCTATTGGTGGGAATCCTTCCCCTGACACCCCTACACCAAGAAGCAGGGTACGCAACCTCTTCTGATAGTCACAACGGGCACACGAGCAGACACCGACATCCCCCTACCCCTCATCGTGTGCCGTGCAGACCTACATCGGTGGTCACACCACCACCACCACACCACCATCATCACCACCACCACACAACCATCACTATCAACACCACCACACAACCATCACCACCACCATCAACACCATCGCCACCACCATCATCACCACCATCATCACACCATCACCACACCCGCACCACACCACCACCATCATCACCACCATCAGCACCACCACCACACCACCATCATCATCATCACCACCACCACACAACCATCACCACCACCATCAACACGATCACCTCACCACCATCACCATCAACACCACCACCATCATCACCACCATCACCATACCCGCACCACACCCGCACTACCATCATCACCACCATCAGAACCACCACCATCAGCACCACCACTATCAATCAGCACCATCACCACCACCATCACCACCATCAGCACCACCACCACCATCAGCACCACCATCAGCACCACCACCATCAACCACCACACCATCACCCACCACCACCATCAGTATACAGGTGTTGTGTGTATGAGTACCCACGTGTAGCGCGTACATGCGAGGTGGTGGGGTGGTCGAGTCTGTGACCCCATGTACACTACACTCTACACTACTATACACATGAACAAACGGATCAACGCCATCTTGCTGATTATTATGAATGGAACATTAAAGATGGACCATATAGTAAATCCAGAGACACACAGAGAGATATATATACTCATACACCTATAGATAATCGTATGTATGTATGTATGTTCAACTTCTTTTGCACCGTACATAGTTAACCATACTAATCAGAGGTGCGAGGTTAGGACAACAAACTAAACACAAAAAAGCAGTTTTAAAGAAATGAGTTTTCAAATTGAAAGTATATAAGCTGAAGCGGCTGCATAATATCAGAAGAGCGTTCCAGACGGCCGCAGAAGCGCGTCTGAAAGTGCGCGACGCGGTGACCGCCTTTTTGTTCGATGGTTCGCCAAAAGTCACCACTGCTGCGATGATGACCGAAGTAAACGTGATGGTTTATGCCCCTTGACGAGATCAGCGAGGTATCGTGGTAATGATAATTGGTTCTTTACCCTTCTATCTGGCAACAAAACTGACACCTTTTTGCAAGGAGTCATGTTTGCATAGACCGCAATACCTGCAGTCATAATACAAACAAAAGAACATAACTCTGATAATGTGCACTGTCCTTGAAGTTGATTGGTCCACACCCGAGACCAATCAACTTCAAGGACAGTGCACATTATCAGAGTTATGTTCTTTTGTTTGTATTATGACTGCAGGTATTGCGGTCTATGCAAACATGACTCCTTGCAAAAAGGTGTCAGTTTTGTTGCCAGATAGAAGGGTAAAGAACCAATTATCATATTTTTACTGGCAAATGAGGTCCCCATAGTATCGTGGTAATGTTACATATGTATACTCCCGAATACCGTACTATATTGTATACTATATTTACCCACGTGTTTTACAGCCCTTAAAATATCTAATAAGCATGTGCTCTATTTAAGACCGGAAGCAGGTGGATTGCTTCACTGTTCCGGCAAATTGCCCGATGATGCTGGTTGATATAATTACCTGCGAAACGTCGTACTACTCAAATTTAATTGTAAATGTCGTGGATTTACTCTCCAACACACCAGTGTGCTGAAGTAGTAACTAGTTGGCGTTTTGTTTACGTGAAAAATCCCTTACTGATTGGCTGTGTCGGGTGGTGGAGGGCTACGGCACATTTATACTTACAGCGATCTAACCCAAGAACCTTCATTATGAATCATAGTGGTCGCGAAAGCCTGCTACGTGTTAAACTGATATAAGATTGTATAGGCTTATTATATATCGCCAGGATAATAGACAAAGGTGCGTCACCACAATCCCCATCAAAACGCACGACGGGCGTTCAAGGCGTGCAGGCTGAATCCCTCGTTAAACGGCAATTCGATGCACGGAATTTCGCTGCAGCGTAACTTACACGCGAGGGTGCAGATTCGATATACGCGACGTTGCAATCGCATTGACAGAATTGTGAATCTCACTAAATCGTAATGTGTTTTTTTTTGGTGGGGAGGGAGGGGGGGAAATCCTCGCGTTTCATATCACCTACAGTTGTCCAGATGTATTGTGACCCACCAATTAATTCAACCGTAAAATGCTATTTCCTTTGCATATAATTTTTTGTTTTAGAGAATTAATGTGCGTCACAAGACATCTGGACCACCAGTACATTCTTTTTTATTTCGCGACTTATTTTGAGTATCATTTCCTCATAAATTGATCGACGTTCTATTATATTTGCTTTACAAAAAAAACGCCGCACTCTAAAGTGTGGCTTTACTGGTACTTGGTAGGCCTTGGGGTCGGAATGCTTTCCCAAAGGAACGCACCTCCAATTATACGACGACGAGAGTCGACGGGGAAAATCGGAGTTGGAATTTGCTGACTTTCTCTCTTTTTTTTAAACGGGCAACGTCGCTGGAACCTTTCTGCTCCGTGTATCGAGGGGACGCCCTTGCGCTCCTATTACTTCGAAACACTGCGCAATTGCAAAAGGTGGAAGAGATCCGTCAGCATGGGCTGCACAGCTTTGGCGAATTGCTTGAACGGATTGTCGGGTTTGCTCGTGGAAGCGTTCGCCTTCATCGCTGTCATCAGCTCGATGTGTCTCCACTTCTCTTCGCGAGCCCTTTCATTGGCCTGCAGAAGGACAACAACAACAACAAAGGGTTCTAGATTTGAAGCTTTCGTGACTGCAAGGATTTATACTCTTAGGTTTTTTCCAGTAAAGTCACGTAGGTAAAAAATGTAATTAAAATTAGCTCTTTACTTGATACAGCAATCGTGCTGTGACAGTTCCGCCTGAAGACGGAAGCTTGTGTTGCCTCCGAAACGTCGTGATTTTTATTTTACTTTTATAAATTTGAATTTTATTTTTTACCTACGTGACTTTAACGAAAAAACCTAAGAGTATAGAGTAACAAAGGGTTCGGCTTTTGTGACATGCGTGCGCACGCGTGGGAAATAAAAACCATTTGATTTAAATTAAACTTACTTTTTTTATTTACCAGGTAAGGCCCACTAAATTATTTAGCTTCTTTTTGCAGAAGCAACCTGGCCACAAACGATAGTTCAACGAAGTGGCTTATCATTTATAGCATCGAAATACTCCAGACGCGTGATGTTGACTTCCAAATGTGGAGGGAAAACCCAGACGACCTGGAAGAAACCCATGTAGAACAAGGGGGGAGCGTACAAACAGAGAGAAATGCGCCCAAGTTGAAACTCAGGGCGTTCTTGCAGTGAGGCACGAGTGAGACCACCGAGTCATCTACAGTGGTGAATTTAATGGTGAAGATGATTTGTTTGCATTCCGACTGCAGGCATTGTGGTCAATGCAAACATGACTCCTTGTAAAAAAGGTGTCAGTTTTGTTGCCAGATAAAGGGTAAAAAACCAATTATCATATTTTGCTACTGGCAAAGGAGGTTCCAATGGTGTAAATGCTTACCCCGAGCTCCCATACTCTGATGGTGCATTGTCTTTGAGTTGTGCGCCTTTTGGCGTCATCTGTTCTAACACCATGTGAGACTAGGCTCTAAGGAAAGCTGTCTCGGGTGTGGACCAATCAATTTCAAGGACAGTGCATACATTATCAGAGTTGTGTTTTGTGTTTGCATTATGACTGCAGGTATTGTGGTCTATGCAAACTTGACTCCTTGTAAAAAAGGTGTCAGTTTTGTTTGCCAGATAAAAGGGTAAAAAACCAATTATCATATTTTGCTACTGGCAAAGGAGGTTCCAATGATGATAACGACGATGGCGGTGATGATGATTATGATGATGATGGTGGTGAAGACCGTTTCAGCCAGTCTTGCCAGCCACATTGCAGGCGACGCGTCAGCGCAAGAATAAGAGCCGCTCCGCTACGTGGTACACGCGGGTCGTGAATCTGGCACCTTCATCTGCTCCTCGAAGGCTTGCATGTGCGCTCGCTGCTGATCATTTTCCGCCTCACGTGCTTTCTTCTCGAGCTCCATCTTCAGCTCCATGGCTTCCTTTTCTGTCGAAAAAAGAAACACATTTCACGCGCGCGTTCCAACCGTGAATCGGCTGATGGCGATCCACTTTAGCGTCTCACTTTAGTGGCTGTAGTGAGACAGTGTAGGGGCTCACGATAGTGGCTAGAGCAGAGGTCGGGAACCTGTGGCTCGCGAGCCATATATGGCTCTTCTGTTGACGGCATATGGCTCCCAGACAATTTTGAGTTGAAAAAAAAATACAAAAATCAGTTTGGAACTGATTTTAAAATACTTGTGATATTGCTTAATAATACTGTGTCATTTTAAAGTAAACAGAAATTAGTTTTGAAGATAAATTTCACGGGTCACGGGGCCTCAACGCCTGCATGAAGCTCAACCTCACCACGTACGAACCAGACTACAAGGCCATCAGCAAAACCATGCAGCACCAGAAGTCGCATTAAAAGTAATACATATTTAATTTATTATACGTTAAAAATACTATATGGCTCTCAATGTAATATATTTAGAAATATTTGGCTTGTATGGCTCTCCCAGTCAAAAAGGTTCCCGACCCCTGGGCTAGAGTGAGAAAATGCAGTAGCTCACTACCGCGGCGGCTCAGCCACGGCACGGGGGCTCAGGCTCAGCTCGTGGGGAAATCCCGAGCGTGGCTACTGGGGACCATGGCTCCAAGCCGGCGCAGGGATTAAGCACGTGGCGCAGAGCCGGCTTCGCGCGAGCCGGAAGCCGTGACTACGAATGTGCTAAGGAACGAGTGCAAAGGCTCACCGAAGCGCTCCCTCTCCCTCAGTGTGACGGTCTTGTCCAGCAGCAGCAGGTTATGCCTCCCTTCCTCCTTGCTCTTCATGAAGACCGCGAGCTGGTTTTCCTTCTGCGGATCCACGAAGGCGTCGGGCAAGGGTGAAAAATCGAAAGTGGGTCACGGAACCCGCCTTGGCGGAGGTGCACAGTAGAAAGTTGAACAACAACAACAGCAGCAGCAGCGGCGACAACGATTTTACGGTCACCGCATCGCGGCGCTTTCAGGTGCGCTTCCTCAGGCCGTCTGGAATTCTCCTGTGTCCGATATTAGGAAGCAACTGGAGCTATGCACTTTCAAATCATCTAGATTGTAAACTAATTTCGTTAGAACTGCGTTTTCGTGTTTAATCTGTTGTCCTTCCCCCGCACCTCCGATTGGCACGGTTGGCTCCGTACGGTGCCGAAAGAAGTTCAACACCAGCACATACGCAACAAACACGAGTACCTCGTCTCCCAGGCCTTGCTGTGGCGCGGTAGGCATCCCTCAGCTTCTCCATGAGGCCCTCATACTCCAGGAAAACCCCTGGCTTTACAGAGGCCTCGTCCTCCCCCTGCTGCACCTTCACTCGGATCGGCTCGAACAGCTCCTGCAGGCGCCGCTCGCACCGCAGCGCCGAGGCCTCCTTGTTCTCTTTGACCAACTTCAGGTACTCTTTGGCCAGGGTGTCCTGCGACGACAAAAACGTGACAGCTCGCGAAACGTCACACTGCGGCGGCCATGTCGAATCGGGCAAAGGAATCTCACGTAGTCAGTTTAACGTGTAGTAGTAGTGGTAGCCTTTCGCGACCAATGTTATCCGTAAAAAAGTTTTTCTTTTGTAGGGGTCACATCGCGTCGATATAAATTAGTCGGTAAACCCACTACCACCAACACAGCCAATTGGTAAGCTTTGTCACGTGAACAAAACGTGTCGATAAGTTACTGCTCCAGCACACTGGTGTGTCGGAGAGTAATCCCACAACATTTACAATTCGAGGAGGACGTTTCACTGGCGATTACAATCAGCCTCATCAGGCGATAGCCAGAATTATGTTAGCATAGTTACGACACAGGGGCAGTGCAATTGGAAAATGCACCTCTGGTGAGCACCTCCGATTAGCACGGTTGGCTACGAACGGTGCGAAAGAGGTTCAGCTTGCATACGTGCATACACACACTTTGTCTGAAGGCTCCACTCACCATGAGCTCCTCCTCGTGCTTGAGCTCCCTGTCGAGCAGCGAGCGCTCGTGGAACAAATCCACGGCGTCCTGTGCTCCACGCTGGTGCAGGCTGACGAGCTCCTCCGCTGTGGGGAGTGGCGTCAGCTCGTCCACCGTCACGGCGACGGCCGTCCTCTCGCGGTAGAGGGCCAGCGCCTCCTTCTTAGCCTGCAGGTTGGTGAGCGTGATCACCTGCTCCAGGGCGCTCTCGATGCAGGGCACGGCGCCGTTGCGCTGCGCCGTCACGTACTGCTCCGCCAGCTGCACGAAGGCTGCGCACGCGCGGAGAGACGCGGAGAGAGACGCGGAGAGAGATGCAGACGGTCCCGGGGAGATGCGGAGAGAGACACGGAGAGACGTGGACAGAGACGTGGAGAGACACGAAGAGAGACGCGGTAGCACGCGCGGTGCGAGCACGGCGAGCTACGACTACGTCAACTCATCTCAAAACTTTACACGCCGCGCACTCTACTCAATAATCTCCAGTTGATGGTGGTACGATCGACTTAAGAAGAGCGCTCCTCGCGACGGCTCACATTGGCCGGTGAGGATGGCGCCGTCGATGTGCTTGCTGGTGGCTCGTCCCAGCACGTGGTCCGCGAACTCCTCAGCCGTCGTCAGGAACTCCGGGTCGAGGCTCTCGTCCAGGAGTTTCTCGATGAACTCCAAGTTCTCCCGGCGCGTCGGCGTTGGAAACATGAAGCACTTCCGATCCTTCGGGAACAGAAGCGCGCCCCGATTACCACGTGGTGGTGGGGGGGGGTTCCCTCTGATATATAATTATTTGGCTGCCGCTATAAATGTTACGCACGATGATGAGCCACTTCGTTGAGCTATCATATGTGGCCAGGCCGCTTCTGAAAAAGAAGCTACCAGCTCAGTGGGCTTTCGCTGGTAAAATAAACAAAATCAATTTACCTTATATATTTAAAAGAACCTCTTTAAACATACGAGTAGCGCACGGAAGTTAAGAACACACTTGGAACGACCTGGCAGTAATAATCGCACGCTCAGCGGCATAGTCACGACATTATCAGCTCAGAGGGTGCAGCAATCGGTCAGGTTGGGGACCCCAGCATGTGATTTGTCCCGCACGGTCGCACCCGGACTATTGCCTATCGCGGCGACTCCTCTTGCCTCATCGCATCACCGCTCACGGTCTCCAACACTTAACGCTGTTAGGGGCGCTCCATCTCGTGGTGGTTTTCAAGGGAGGCCCAACTCGGAGCTTTGGCGACCAGGGAGCAGGTGGGGGGGTGGCGGGGGGGGGCAAGGCACCCGCCTGCTCCCTACGCTAGTCACGCTACCGTCCTACCTTGAAATAATCGCAGATGAGCTGCCTCTGGTCGTTGAACTGTCGGCAGACCGGCGTCTTGCCCTTCTTGCGCATCTGCAGGCAGTGCTCCATGTACTCGTCGGCCGAGCACGGCTTTCCGTCGATGAGCAGCTTCAGCGTGAAGTCGCGCACGCAGATCACCAACGGGGGGAAGTAGTGCTCGAAGTCCAATCCGCGCTCGTCCTCGTCCTGGTTCACCCGCGTCCTCACGTGGTCCGTCATGTTCACCACGAAGCTGTGGCGCGAGCGGAGTGGGTGGAGCGGAGTTGGAGCGGAGTGGGGAGGAGTGCGTTAAGGGAACCGGGCAGTGCGGATGCCGCGTGGGATCGTGTCCGGAGACTCTCGCGTCTCTCTCTCGTCTACATCTCATCTCATATCGCTGTTGTTGCTGCTGCTGCTGATACCACGGTTACCGTGGTTACCGTGAACTGCACCCGTTAATTCCTCCACCCGTATTGGTTGGGGACTTGGATCTAAACAGACGCGCTGCTTTGTCTTGTCCACACTGTGTTCAGCTGACACCACAACCATCACGACACCGCAGGTCCCAACAACACACTCACTCACCCAATCAACTACTCACTCACTCAATCAACTACTCACTCACCCAATAAACTACTCACTCACTCACCCACCCAATAAACTACTCACTCACCCAATAAACTACTCACTCACCCACCACACTGCAGGTCACAAAACTTCTCTTTCTGCTTCTTTCCTCGCACTGCTCCCCTTTGGAATTCCATCCATCCTCCCCATCCATCCTCTCTTTTTCCTACTCTCTTACTATTACCTTGCTCAATAAGGGCTATTGCCTGAAACGCCACGGGCTATATATTGCCGAATGTGTTGAATGAGGTTTTGTTGTTGTTTATCTAACCTATATAATTCATTTTTTGCCTGTCTGTCTGTCTGTCCAGTCTGCGTATGCTCGCTTGCGGGGGATTTGGCTCTCGGACCGTGGGGTTCGCCAAGATTAAATTTTGCCGTTGGGCATGCCCCCGGCCCCGTGGTGAACATAGGCATTTCCGATTTTTCGTCTCTAAACTTTAAATCGGACCGATTATCGATTTAGTGAGATTTCTCTTTATTTATTTATTTACGTTTGCCGACCGGCACGTGACGAAGCACGCCGTTGCTCATGCGTGAAGGCGGTTGCCCCTGGCAATGGGCGGTTGCCCCTGACAACGGGCGGTTGCCCCTGGCAACGGGCAGCAACACCATCGCTGCGGGGTGGACGCCATTTTTAATTCCCGTTAAAAATATGCACACGCATCAACACGCGACGCTGAGGTAAATTCATCAAAGTTTCACGTCCTCTTCACTCCCCCCCCCACCCAATGTGTGCAATTACTATTATTCTAGTGCGGGGGGGGGGGGGGTAGCGGCCCCAGCACCCAGCCTCAGCTGGGTGGGCAATCTAGGCGAGGCCGGAGGCTCTGCACGGTACTAGGCCTCGACACCCCACACTTGTACATATATATATATCACCGACTCAGCTGGCAGCAGGCTATGAAAACAAGCCTCAGGAGAGGCGAGGAGAAAAGACACACTGCTTGGCAGACCAAGAGGGAGCGACGTAAAGAACAAGCAACAAACACCTCTGGAGCTGCCATCACATTCACTTGCCTCTGGAGCTGCCACCACATTCACTTTCCTCTGGAGCTGCCACTGCATTCACTTGCAATTGCTGTGGCAAGGATTGCCACTCAAGGATTGGCCTACTAAGTCATTCTAGGCGCTACAAAACCTACAGCTGACCTCGTAAGGCGCAAAAGAATTGTCTCTCGAGACACAAAGGCCTATGTGTGATGATATATATCACGTGGTATCCAATGTTGAGGATGCAAGAAATATAATTTGTATCATCATCTGTCTATTGCCATAGCATGCCTCTGCAGTGGAGTTCAACGTCCATGTTGCTTTAACTCACGCGAGGATTCAATGCACTGGGAGGATCACAGTCTCGTTTGCAACGAGTGCCTTGCGCCAACGAAATTACGCGAAAGCAAAGCGAACAAAGTCGTGCACGGGGCAGTCCTCCAACTTATGAACGCAACTCAGACACGTCCGTAAGTCGGAAGCGTTCGTTAAGTCGAGCACTGCCCGGCACAGCAACAAAGCAAATGGACATTGTCTGCGTCAGCGGCGGCGATCGGCGCATTGGGAGGATACTGCAGCTGCTCGAGGCCTTCCTTGTCGAGCGTGCCCACGACGTTGTAGACCAGCGTGGTGCTCAGCAGCACGGCCATCACGAAGAGCCACGTGTCGTGTGTCTTTCCGTCCTGGGGGGGGGGGGGGTGCAAAGAGAGGAGGGTTCAAACAAATCACCGTGAAACGGCCCCTAGCGTGCTGATGGCGTGCAATAACTGGTATACAGCCCCTTGGGTACAAAGCGAACCGCTAGGGATACGTTTTTTTTTATTTTGAAGGTATCCAAACACGATGGCCACATGATAATTGGTTTTTTACCCTTTTATCTGGCAACAAAACTGACATCTTTTTTTACAAGGAGTCATGTTTGCATAGACCACAATACCTGCAGTCATGCAAAAAAAAAAATGCTTACCCCGAGCTGTCATACTCTGATGGTGCATTGTCTTTGAGTTGTGCGCCTTTTGGCGTCATCTGGTCCAACACCATGTGAGACTAAGCTCTAAGGAAAGCTGTCTCGGGTGTGGACCAATCAACTTCAAGGACAGTGCATACATCATCAGAGTTGTGTGGTTTTTTTTGCATTATGACTGCAGGTATTGTGGTCTATGCAAACATGACTCCTTGTAAAAAAAGGTGTCAGTTTTGTTGCCAGATAAAAGGGTAAAAAACCAATTATCATATTTTTTACTGGCAAATGAGGTTCCATTGACGACGGCCACATCTCTTAGTTTGGCATACGATGATAATTTCCAAAATACATTGCCAAACTCTTTCCTCCCCCCCCCCACCAGAACGGACGAGGAGATCGGCCACTCACCGCCGCCACGTCTCCCAGGCCCTCGGTGTCGAGCAGCAGCAGCCACTTGTCCTGGTGCAGTGGATGTGGTCTGGGCCAGACCCAGATGCCCTTGGTGTGAGACTGCACCGTGCAGCCCAGGGAGAAGCCTGCGACGGGGTGACAACCCAGAGAAGCGCGTGAGTGGTCAAGGCCATGGAAATAAGACGCGCTCGTTGCACACATAAGGGGCCGTCCATAAATGACGTCACGCACCTAGGGGAAGGCGTGGTCAGACATTTGTGACGATGTGTGACGAGGGGGGGGGGTGTTTGAGAAATGTGACGTTACATCAAAATGTGCAACTTTAAAGAAATTTAGAATTGTTGCACAGCGAGAGCTGTGCACGTTTAAGTCATCTAGATTGAAAAACTAATTTCTTTATGAACTGCTTTTTGTGTTTAGTTTAGTGTCGTTCCCCCCTCCCCGCACATCCGATTAGCGCAGTTGGCTACAACGCAAAGACAAATATCCCCCGTATAGCCTGCAACAGGTGTTGCCTTCATATCCGCATCTCCAGTTTCTCTTCAACCTCCCACTCCCAGCCCTGCCCACTCCCCCCCCGACATGTTGTCGTTGCTCGCCCTTTAATCCCTTCGAGCTGATCTTCACTGGGCAGCGCTCCACTCCCCTTACCCCCCCTCTCTGTCTCTCCTACCTGCCCCCCCCTCTCTTACCTATATGGCCTCTTGTTACAGCAGCCCTCTCGCCCACTTCAGCAATTGTTTCTTGCTGTGGTTGTCCCACCTGATGACGGACGCTTGTGTTGCGCCCGAAACGTCGTGATGTGATATAATTTATTTTGTTTTATTTTATACCTACGTGACTTTACCGAAAGAACACGTACGGCCACCCGACACAAATACGCGAAGGGTAAAAACACACCCAGCACCACCACCACCACCATCATCATTGTCATCGTGCTGCTGTCAATCAAACCCGCGATGGTTTCAAGTGGTGTCGCACTGATGATGTCGCATCGGCCAAAGTGGCCCCTCTGAGAATCAGTGGACTACAACAACGGCACACACACGACACGAACACATATAACACACAAACTCAACACGCAAGACACACACCACACAACATCAGACACACACACAACGCATTAAACAGCGGCGGCGGCTGTTAGGGGAAGTGAACGACTCCGCGGTTTCAGTTTGGGACGCTCGCCCCGACGTGCACGCAATCACACAAAGACAAAGATCCCCCACCCCCCGTGTAGCCTGTAACAGACTGTTGGGGCAAGTGCTGTTAGCGAGCACCTATGAAGGCCGGCACGGCACACGAGGGCGTGGGCCAACACCACGACCGGCACTCAGTGGCGATGTTTACACACCGCACCCGGGTACTCATTTGTGGCCGAGTGGACCTAGGGGAGGTCCCGGGACCGGTTCAGACAATCGTCACCGGGTTGTTGGTGGCCTGCGAGCGGGAATGGAACTCGGGTCGCCCGATGTTCGTAGCGGTCAGCACAGCACAGCTGACCGCTACGAACCGCTACACAACGCACACAACAACGACAACACCACCACCACCCGCGTTCGTGTCTCGGTCTTGCTGCTGCTGTGCACGACGATAGGGCTTCAGCAGAGAGAGGGAGGGAGATTTCGTGGAGTGTTTGCCGTTCCTCCGTTGAAAGGAGCGCAGACTGCTCGCACAGTGTTATTTACGACGATACTATACGGTCCGTAGTGTTGGCTAATGTGTTGTAAACCACCGTAGCGATTTTGCTCATTCGACGCTGCGAGTTCATAACGCGAGGCAGGCAGCTGTCAACATTACGGTTCAGGGTCATGTCGCTCATTACACAGTCCCTACTGACACGCGGGCTCCCACGGAATCAGGATATGGGCGTATACCGGCGGAATCCGATGAGCTGTGAAGCTCTTGTTCACCGATGTACCGATAGTTTCACACGCGCGTCCACGGGCCGAAGAGGGTCACGTCGTTAAAGCGCAATCACGCAGCGTTATCGGCAGCAGATAAGAGGAGAAGGTGGAGAGGGGGGGGGGAAGAGATAGAGGGGAGATCCGCGAATACTCGAGTACGTCTCGTACCGGAGTTGGTCCCCGCGAGGCGGTTCATGAGGAACGACTTCCCCGTGCGGTACCTCCCGACCACGGCCACCACCACCACGGGCCCCGTGACGAGGCGCGACACCGCCGCTGCCGTCTCGGGCACCAGCACGAATTTGCCATCTCTGTCCGTCACGATCAGAGGCAGCGGCGCCTCGAAGGCTGCGGTGGAGGAGGTGGAGGATGAGGAGGTGGAGGAGGAGGAGGGGGTGGAGAAGAAGGATGAGGAGGTCGCCATGAGGTCGGCAGCTTGAGACGCGAGGCTTCTTCGCGCGAGTGAGAAGAGAAGTGGGGACTTTGCGTAAAATACTGCGGGTGCCGCCTACCTGCACGAAACCGCGCCCCCCCCCGCACCTCCCCCGGCTACAGCACAAGCGATGAGCACGGCTGGCTGCTAGGTCCGGTGCCGATAGAAGTTGAACACACTCTGGATACCAAGCCACGCGCACGCACGCCGAAGCATTTCAACCATCGGAATGGAGCTGGAGCCCTTTTTGTTTACACGCAAACACGCGCGCGCGTGTTATGGAGAGCCGGTGGCGCAGTGGTTAGGGCTGCATTTATAAATCACAATGGTAGCGGCCGAAACACACTGAGATCAGAGACTTGGGTTTTTAGAATTTGAATCTCAGAAAATCTGGAAATCTTGAGATGCGAGGTCTGATTCATTTGGGGTCTATATTTACCGTCGTTCCAAGATTGTTTTTGGCGGAATGACGGACATTGTTGCAGCCTCTCGCCTGCGTTGCACACGTGGCCACATACCCATAACAAACGTTCAGTATTTGTTAAACATTTCAGGTGACCGAACACAAACAAAAGACCGCAAAGCGTTCGTCAAAATCACTCCTTCGTGTGGCTGGCTGATGTTGATGTCGAGCAAAAGCTATGATGTTACATTGACCGTGGAAATAAACTTCTGATTCTCGTGTCTCGTTTCACCGTCTCGTTAATGCTTCTGCAGTTTCTAAAACTAAACTTAAAACTATTTTTGTATTTTACCAGTAAGGCGCAACTGAGCTGTGTAGCTCTTTTCAGAAGCGAACTGGATACTAAAGATAGCTCAACGAAGTGGTTTATCGTCGCGTGGAAACTTATAGCAGCCAAATACTCAAAACGAATGTTTCCGCAGACTCATAAAGACCTACGGAGACACATAGAGACCCAAACTCAGAGCCCCACAGAGACCCATGCACATGGAGACCCCTGCAGACCCATACTCATCGAGACCCACACGGAAACTAAACTTTGTATTTGACCGGGTATAAGCTGCGCTGAGCTGTGTAGCTTTTTTTTCAGAAGCGACCTGGCCACAAATGATAGCTCAACGAAGTGGCTTATCATCGTCACGTGGAAATGTATAGCAGAAGACAAACATTCTTGTGTGTAAACTCTCTACGACGTGGACTCTTCGTGATCAAGTTCGGCAGTTGTGGAGAGAATGCAAAGAGTTCCCAGTTGTGTTCGAGCCAGCTTCAGATCATGTGTCTTGTGAGGCACGCGTTTAGCACGGCTCGGTAAATATCCAATGGAAAAGCACTTGTACCACGGCACGGTTTAGGTGCGCCAATGTAAAAGGGGTATTTGTTGCAAATGGTGATTGTTATGTGTGTTTTTACACGTAGGCTGTCGCAACCAATATTATCCATGAGGTTTCTTTTGGGATAAATCGCGTAAATATATAAATGTGTCGTTAAACCCGCCACCACCCGACACAGCCAATTAGTAAGGTTTGTCACGTAAACAGAACATGCCAACATCTCACCGGTGTGTGTTGGAGATTAAATCCACAACATTTACAATCTGAGCACGACGTTTCGCCAGTAACTACAACTAGCATCATCAGGCGACAGCCAGATTCGTTGTGAAATCCTGTTTTGTTCTTAAATAGAGGGATAGATGTGATGTCGTCACTTGTGAGCCCTTCAGGTGCGAAGGCCAGAGGACAATTGGCTGTGTCGGATGGTCACGGGTTTAACGACACATTTATACATTTACGCGATCCGACCCAAAAAAAAACCTTATGGATATGTGTGCGTTGTTTGCGTGTATGGTGTGTGCACTGTAGCATGTCCTGTTTGTGTCTTGTGTTGTACCTGTAATTTATTTACCGTGTTATTTTGTCTGTAATGTGCGTTGTCTGTAGCATTTGTTGCGAGCGTAGTTTGCGTGGCTACGCGAGGTTGTGTCCGAGCCCGGAGCGCGCGTCCCGAAACTGAAACCGCGAAATGGTTCATTTCCTCTCGCCGCTCTGCTGCTGTTGACGCTACCGCTGATGCTGCTGTTGCCTCTGCTACTGCTGCTGTTGCCTCTGCTGCTGCTGTTGCCTCTGCTGCTGCTACCTCTGCTGCTGCTGTTGGCTCTGCTGTTGTTGCCGCTCGAAGCTAGTAGCCAGTGGAGTCGTTCACTCGCCATTCCGTGCTCAACACATTGGTCAATGACCACAGCGTGTTGGCCTTAAAACTATTTCTTTTTTAGAAAAATCTAAGAACAGGCGACGATTTGGGAAATAGCCTTTATAGAATCAGAATATTTATTTTTATTGGAGGAATCCGATGAGCAATGAAGCTCTTTTTTCGCAGATCTCCAGTGGGGGCAGGTCAGAACGTTACAACAAACAATATAAAAACACGATGGGGGAGTAAAGTATAGGAAAGATGCACAAATATACACACAAATAAAACTAAACTTTTTTTTATCTAACCAAGTAAGACCCACTGAGCTGATCAACTTCTTATTCAGAAGCAACCTATCACAAATTCAAAGTCCACAGTGCAAATCGCAGTCTCCAACTCTTACCTTCGTGGCCTTTTCTCTATTTCTGCTATGACGAAGGCCCATTACCCGAAACATCGTCTATTATATACATACATACAATGTTTGTAAAACCACTGCCAACGCAGCAGCAGCAGCATGAACTAATTTGTCCAGAACAATGTCTCAGACGTCAAAATATCAACACGTATTTGTGGTTCTTTCGGTAAAGTCACGTAGAAGGGAAATAATAAAATAATAAAAATAAAACAATAAAATTCTCACGACGTTTCGATTGCAACACAAGCAACCATCATCAGACATTTCTTGCTGTGGTTTTCACACCTGATGATGATTGCGTGCGTTGCAATCGAAACGTCGTGAGAATGTTATTGTTTTATTTTTATTATTTCCCTTCTACGTGACTTTACCGAAAGAACCAAGAATATGAATCCCTGCATATTCTAGATTTGAAGCTTTCGTGACTGCAAGGATTCATACTCTTAGGTTTTTTCGGTAAAGTCACGTAGATAAAAATAAATAAGAAAAATAAGCTTTAAAACGAAATATGAACACGTCCACAAGGTAATGAAAAGATAAACGCCATCATGTGGATTTATTCAAATATAACGAGCAGGCCCGCACACGTCCTTTGAACGTGACTGTCCCTCCCTCCCGCCAGTCAGCCAGCCAGCGAGCAAAACTTTTTCCCCATCGTAGAATTCACAGCAACGTGTCTATCCACTGCTGGATGAACAGCCGCGTCGTGCGAGTCGTGGGATGCGAGTGACATCACCAACACAATATTATTTAGTAGGGCACAAACGTCTATTTCTGCTCTTGGGATGGCATATGAAATGTTTGACGAATACTGAACGTCACGTAGGTAAAACAAGCAATAAAATAAAATAAATGAAAGCAAATAAATTAAATCACGACGTTTCGGAGGCAACACAAGCTTCCTTCATCAGGTGTAAAAAAAATGCTGAACGTATTTATGGGTATGCGGCCACGTGTGCAAAGCAGGCGAGAGGCTGCAACAATGTCCGTCATTCCGCCAAAACATTCTTGGAACGACGGTAAATATAGCCGCAATGAATCAGACCTCGAATCTCAAGATTTCCAGATTTCCCGAGATTCAAATTCTAAAAACCCAAGTCTCTGATCTCAGTGTGTTTCGGCCGCCACCATTATAATTTTTCAATGCAGGTCTCCAAACAGCGTCGAGTACAAGTTTGTAGGAAGCTGACCTTTGCAGCAGTTGTAAGCCGATACAAAACCCGGTTTGTTTTTTATAGCTCGCTTTTATGAAAAAAAATGCAGCTCGGCATGCAGGTCATTCCAGTCATTTTCGCCAGAAAGCACAACCCTGCTGAGATGCACTCAAAGGTGTTTCGCTAATACACGTTTTGACAATATCATGGATCAAAATCGAGTATTGTTATTACTCTTACATCGCTGCTAACACTACCATGGTTGTTGCGGTGATCTTCACTCGTCGATTCCTCCACACTGACCGTTTCGTCTCATGCAAAGTGTTGAACCACCGTGTTTAAATATCACAACAAAGACAAAGATCCCCCTATAGTGCTGTTAGCGAGCACCTATTAAGGCCGGCACGGCACACGAGGGGGGCTTGGGTGGCTAACACCACACCCGGCCGCCTTTGTCTCCCCCAGTGATGTTTACACACCACACCAGGTACTCATTTGAGGCTGAGTCTACCCAGAGGAGGCTGCGGACCGGTTCAGATCATCTTCACTGTTGTTGGTGGCCGTGAGTGGGAATCAAACTCGGGTAGCCGGGTTCGTAGCGCAGCGCACTAACCGTTGTACTACCACTCCCCACAACACAAAGACAAATATCCCCCGTATAGCCTTGACAGACTGTTGGGGCAAGTGCTGTTAGCGAGCACCTATGATGGCCGGCGTCTGACCAGCTAGTTGTGCCTCAGGCTTGTTCCATCTGGCCCGGCCCTCTAGCTGCTACCGTAGGCGCACACCAGGCTCAACATCCCTGGTGAGTCGGTACAGTCAGCAGCTGCCAACGCCGAACCCCGGGCGGCAGTTAACTAACCCGGCAAACTCAGCTTGTCTGAGCCTGGGCGTGTGGAACCCCTGGTGGAGGAAATTCCACCAAAACGGGTCTTTGGACCTTCCACTGCAACCAGGACCACTGGGTACAGATGCGGCTGGTCGAGAGAGTGAAGTTGACGCTGCGCAAATCACCCTCACTTAAATCCAATTTCTCTGCGCAAGTCATGGCACTTTATTTACCATCGTCATTATCCAAGTCCTGTGGCGATGGGTGAGCGACGAAGCAGCAGGCACGGATATGCTGGAAGCTGTAGCCGGAAACCTGCACGCAGGCGGCTCAGGATATTGGTCGTTCCCTCACTGGACCGAAGCAGCAGTGAAGTCCGGCAGCACCCTGAGTGACTGAGCAGCCCTATTCAGGATCACACTGCTCACCTCCGTAGTGAGGAAAGGGTTAGAAAAGGTACCCTAAACATTGTCTGCTTCAAAACATCCTGGCCAGCCTACCGCAGCTGGCGGGATCCCATACTTGCGGTCGAAAAACAAAAACAAATAAAATGAAAAAGACCAAAGTGATACCACTCACTGTTGGCGCCTGGAATGTGCGCACTTTGATGGACACATCTGGATCAAAAACACCTGAGAGACGCACCGCCCTCGTGGGCAGAGAGCTAGCCAGATACAATGTGGATGTTGCTACCCTTAGTGAGACCCGACTGGCCGATACTGGACAAGTGACTGAAGTGGGTGCAGGTTACACATTCTTCTGGAGCGGACGAGGCCAGGAGGAGAGACGTGATGCTGGTGTTGGTTTTGCAGTAAAAAACCACCTGGTCAACCAACTGGCAAGCCAACCCAAGGGGATAAACGACCGTTTAATGACCTTACAGCTCCACCTATTGGGTAAAAAGGTGGCCACCATCATCAGTGCCTATGCCCCTACCATGACCAACTCTGACGAGGTCAAAACCAAGTTTTATAATGACCTGGAAGTCATTATTGCTGCCACAGCCAGCTCGGACAAACTCCTGATACTGGGTGATTTCAACGCCAGAGTTGGAAGTGACCATCAATCATGGAATGGAGTCATAGGTGCACATGGCATTGGAAAATGTAACAGCAACGGTCTTCTACTGCTGAAAACATGCTCTGAGTTTGACCTGCTCATCACCAACACGATATTACAACTACCGAAGCACAAGAAAACCTCATGGATGCATCCTCGTTCACACACCACTGGCACTTGATTGACTACGTCATCGTGAGGAGGAGCGACCGGCACGATGTCAGGGTGACCAATGCAATGTGCGGTGCTGAATGTTGGACTGACCATCGTCTCATCATCTCCAAACTGAACATCCGGATTAAGCCTCCCAGACGCCCACAAGGAAATAGACGCGTCAAGCGTCTTAACATCACTCGCCTACAACAGGAACACACCAGACTGGCTTTTGTTGAGGCTCTAGATCATCACCTGGAGTCTCTAAGCTTCGAGCATACAGACGCTGAGGCAGACTGGACTGCTCTCAAGACCGTGCTGCATTCTACAGCCCTTGAATCATTTGGTGTTCCATTACGTACACATCAAGATTGGTTTGATGAGAACGATGCAGAAATCCGAGCACTCCTTGACGAAAAACACCGCCTGCATAAAGCATATCTGAATGACAGCAGCTCAAGTTTAAAGAAAACTGCCTTCCTCAACATTCGCAGAATTGTCCAGCAGAGACTCAGAGTCATGCAAGACGCCTGGCTGTGCGCAAAAGCTGAGGAGATTCAATCCTACGCTGACAGTAACAACACCAAGTGCCTCTATTATGCACTCAAGCAGGTCTATGGTCCGCAACACTCAGGAACTTCACCTCTCCTGAATTCAGATGGAACAACACTCCTCACGGAGAAGCACAAAATACTTGCTAGATGGGTCGAACACTACAGCGCGGTCCTCAACCGGCCATCATGCATAAATGAGGAGGCAATTGCAAGACTGCCTCAAGTTGAAATAAACCAGTCCCTGGCTGTTCTACCATCCATTGAGGAAACCAGCAAAGCCATAACACTCCTCTCATCAGGCAGAGCTCCAGGGTCCGATGCCATTCCAGCAGAAATCTACAAGGCTGGAGGGCCTCGCTTAGTCGAGAAACTGACGACCTCTTCCAGTCTCTGTGGAAATTAGAAGCCGTTCCCAAGGAGTTCAAGGATACTACTATAATCAATCTATATAAAAAAAAAAAGGCAATCGGCAGGACTGCGACAACCATAGAGGCATCCCCATACTATCAGTCGCTGGCAAAATCTTGGCAAGAATCCTTCTGAACCGCCTAATTGTCCACCTAGACCAGGGTCTGCTACCTGAGAGTCAGTGTGGTTTCAGAAAAGACCGCGGAACCACTGACATGGTATTTACTGCCCGGCAGTTACAGGAGAAATGCCAAGAACAAAATGTTGATCTATATATGGCTTTCGTTGATCTAACAAAAGCATTCGACACAGTCAGCCGGGAGGGCCTATGGAAAATCATGGCCAAGTTTGGGTGTCCAGACAAGTTCATTGGCATCGTGCGCAAACTCCATGATGACATGATGGCCAGCGTTAGAGACCAGCAAGAACTCTCTGATCCGTTCCCAATCACAAACGGGGTGAAGCAAGGCTGCGTTTTAGCGCCAACGCTCTTCAGCATGGTGTTTTCTGCCATGCTGCAAGACTCATTCCAGAACCACAACACTGGGATTAACTTCATCTACCGTTTTGACGGTGGGCTATTCAATCTGCGGAGGATGCAAGCCAAAACTAGAGTGGAGGAAATCACTGTTCGAGAACTTTTGTTTGCTGATGACTGTGCTCTGGCTGCTGACTCAAATAAAGATCTACAGGACAGTATGGACCACCTCTCCTCAGCCTGCAACAACTTCGGCCTAACAATCAGCACAAAGAAGACTGAAGTCCTATACCAACCTGCTCCTGGGAAACCCTACACTGAGCCAACCATCTTTGTGAATGGGCAAAAGCTTTCAGCCGTTGACAAGTTTACTTACCTTGGAAAGTACACTGTCTCACGCTGTGCACATAGATGATGAAGTTAACATCAGGATTGTCAAGGGCAGTGCAGCCTTTGGACGTCTATGTGACTCGGTATGGGAAAGGACTGGCATCAAGCAGGAGACAAAACTGAAGGTCTACCGGGCTGTTGTCTTACCAACTCTTCTGTATGGGTGCGAAGCCTGGACAGTTTACCAGCGCCATGCCAAGAAATTGAATCATTTCCACTTGAGCTGTCTGAGGAAACTGCTGAGGATCAAGTGGCAAGACAGAATCCCTGACACGGAAGTCCTCAGCAAGGCAAATATCCCCAGCATCTACACCTTGCTTGCGAAGGAACAGCTTAGATGGACTGGCCACGTGACCAGAATGCCCTACGCGAGACTTCCAAAACAAGTCTTCTTTGGCGAGCTGAGGAATGGCAAGCGAGCACAAGGTGGCCCCAAAAAGCGCTACAAGGACACCCTTAAAGCTTCCTTGAAGAGCTTTGGATTCGACCTGAAAAGCTGGGAATCCCTAGCACAGGACCGACCTGCCTGGAGAAGAAAAGTACAGGATGGTGCAGTCCTCTGTGAGAGTAGGAGACGCTCCTGTGCTATCTTGAAGAGGCAGCAGCGCAAATCTACCAAGGAAGGACGTGTGGCTGCACCTCAGAGCTCTACATCCTCCCTGACCTGTCCAGTGTGCCACAGAGAATTCTGGGCTCGGATTGGCCTCTTCAGCCATCTGCGCACTCATCAAAACCCAACAAAATGACAAACGTGCCATGGTCATCATCAACTTTGATGGACGAACAAGAAGAAGAAGATGATGGCCGGCACAGCACACGAGGGGGTGTGGGTGGCCAACACCACGCCCGGCCACCTTTACGTCCCCAGTGGCGATGTTTACACACCGCACCAGGTACTAATTTGAGGCTGAGTCGACCTAGGGGAGGCCCAGGTCCGGTTCAGATAATCATCACTGGTGTTGGCCACGAGCGGGAATCGAACTCGGGTGGCCAGGTTCATAGCGCAGCGCGCTAACCGCTACACCACCGCTCCTCACAACGCCACACACTGAATCACCCACACACTCACTCACACTTCAGGTCACCTCACTTTTCTTTCCGCTTCGCCCACGACTCTCACCCATCGACACTCCCAGCATTGTTCACAACGCAGCTCAGTGTCCACACACACAACAGACGTCTGACGGAGGATCCCTAAAAATGGCTCCAGGTGTGGATCTGAATCTGTTCCAATCGCCGCGTGCATTTCGTCCAAGTGGAGAAAGAAGGAATACTGTGCAAAAAAATATTTAATTCATGAATTAACGATGCTCCGATTGGATGCCAACAGAAATATCTCGAGACACACTCAATCCTGACAGCGCTAATAACACCGACGACTCTATAAGAATAACAATAACTTTTAAAATTTTGATTTAAAGCTTTCGTGACTGCAGGGATTCATATTCTTGGTTCTTTCGGTAAAGGCACGTAGACGGGAAACAAATTTTTATATTTTTTATATTTTTATTATTTTATTGTTTCCCTTCTACGTGACTTTACCGAAAGAACAAAGAATAATAACTCTTTACTTTGGGTGGGGGGGGTAGTGCCGGCCAATTTGGCGGTCCGAAGAACAAAAATCTATTTTGGGGCCCCCGTTTAAACGTGTAAACTCTTGAGTGAAATGAAAGAAAAGACAAGAGAGAATAGTTCGAGATATAACATGAGAAAAATGTAGATGTACCATAGGGATGTGGCAAGATGAGATGAGAGAGAGTTGCAGACAAGATAGCGACGAGATCGTAATTGGCTTGATGTTGATTAGCACGTGACATTGATCAGGATTTGAATTCGAGTTGATATTTTTCACTTGGCTTGTTTACGTCTCGAGCCACCACTGTAAAAGCACTTATCGCCAGTGACGCTACGGCAGAGGTGGTGGTGGAGAGGTGGCGTGGTGGGTTAGCGCACTGCACTCCGAAACCCGGGCAACATGAGCTCGATTGCCCGCCATGGCTAACATCAGCCGTGGCAGCCCTCATCAGAAGTCGCAATCGGGTACCCGATACCCGTACCCTACCCGATACCCTACCCGATACCCGGCCGGGTACGGGTACGGGTAGCCGTTTGCGACCCTGGTGCGGCCGGGTACGGGTACGGGTAAGGAATCAAAACCCGTTTGCGACCTCTGGCCCTCATTCACCAAACTGCACTGACCGGCGTGGTGAAGTATGGTCAAGCAACCCACATGACCGACACAGTGTGTGGGGGAGGCCTTCACCCATATCGTACGATGTTTGTCATTTGTGCCGTGATCACCCAGGATGTGATCTCGATCAATCTGGAGGTTAACTTGCCAGAGACAATTGACACGTTCCGAGACATCTGCAAGTTGCAGGGTGGGCGTTCCGTTCACCGCTGAATCTGGGAACGCGCAAGCGGTTCGGGTAAATTTTACCAAGAGGGGCGGTAGCGCCGTTCTTTTAAGGACATTGTACACTACTCGCCGCAGAGAAGCGTGGCGACGGCTACTCTACGACAGCTGGCGCAGAACTGCGCCATGCTCTCCCGCGTGGCCTTTTCCTTCCGATGGGAAAGGGTTAATACATCGCATCGATTTAACGTTGAGTTCAAGTCGTACGATCTTTTCAATTCCTCGAGCCAAACAATAGTTTTGTTTTTCTTCTGTTCACTTGCGTTCCTGCGAGCTCATTCGATAACATCAGTTTCCTTCCGTCATTTCGCTGACCCACGTCCACTTTGAGCACGAAACCTCACGCTCGAAACTCTCCACCACCCTTCTTCCATCGCCGCAACAACGGCGCCAGGAGGGAGGGAAGGTTCTTCAGCCGACGGTCGATGCTGCCGAGCATCTTCAACTGCTCCCGCTGGAGCCCCACCTCCTCGTCGCGACGGGCGTTCTCCGCGCGCAGCCAGCGGGCGTTCTGGGAGACGCGGCGCTCCACCCGCCTCAGCTGCCTCCTCGCCGCGTCTCCGTCGGCCCGGAGCAGCAGCGCCGTCGGCGAGTCCTCGCGCCCGGCACGCGTCCCACGCCGTCGAGCCACGGCGGTGCCGCGGGGGATTCTGGGAGCCCCCCCCGCGGTGGGGGGAGTCGGTAGAGCGGGCTCCCGCGCGCGTCCCCCAGGCTCCCGTCGCTTGCGGCCTGCGGGGCGGCTGCTGCTGTTGCCGCCGCCGGGAGACGCCGACGCCGCGGGAGGCGCCGACGCCGCGGAATGGGGCGGCTCCGTCGGTGTGCGCGGCCGGCTGGGATCAAGCTGGGCAGTGGCGGATTCTGCGGCGTAGAAAATAAAATTGAATTCGCAACAGGAAGTTTCTTTAGTCGCAAGCAACGAGTGTCGTTTAACCGTTCGGGCGGCAGCTCGGCGGGAGAGCGAGCGGCTTGCAATTGGAAGGTCGTGAGTTTGAATAAAAGTTAAGACGTTCGCAGGCAATAAAATGACGACAGCTTTATGGGGAAGTCAACGATGCTTACACTCCAGGATTCATGCAAAATGCCCCACCACTGACGCAGGGCTGTAAACGGGAGATGAGAGCCAATCACTCAGTGATTACTTGCTGCCGAAATTACATTTGGCTCAACAGCATTTGAGGATGTATTTTAATGCCGTGAAAAACCTTAGATGTCATTCGCGCTGTCTGACCCATTAGAGATAAGTTGCGAGTTTATATTGCAGTCACTAGTTGGCTCGGCTGATCCCACTAGGGTCTATAGATGCAAGCATGGGAAGTCAATAGGGATCATGCTGTAGACGTCCTGGAATTATGGAATTTCCACCAGTGGCTCAGGACGTCAAGGAGCATAAACCATCACGCAAACTACGGTCATCCTCGCAGTAGCGGCTTTTGGCTGTCCATCGAACAAAGACGCTCACTGCATCGTGCGCTTTCAGATGCGCTTCTGCGGCCGTCTAGGACGCTCTCCCTTCTGATATTAGGAAGCTACTGGAACTATGAACTTTTAAATCGAGATTAAAATCGAATTTCTTTAGAACTGCTTTTTGTGTTTAGTTTGTTGTCTTTCCCCCGCACCTCCGATGTGCACGGTTGACTTTGTACGGTGTGAAGGAAGATCAACATACGACCAACAACAGAGAATTTGATCATTTGTAGCTCACCTCTTCCTCTATTGCCCATTCTCTTCCCTCCCCTCGCCCCTCCATTCCTTCCCGTCCCTCCCCTGACCTTTTGTGACCCCCTAAGTACCCCTCTATCGGGGTCACTCATTCCTCAACCCTTGCACACCCCAGCCATCTAAATCATTCTATTGCCATCGTTTTTTAAACTATGTTGATAAGTGCCTTGAGTGAAAGCGCTCTATGAATATATAAAACAAGGTAAGATATATCCACATTTTCAACTGCTTTAATGACTTGGATAAGGCATTGCAGATTTCTTTTTTGTAAGCACCTCCAGCTGAACCAAAATCTAAAGGGACGCGGCCGTAATCCAACCGCGACTGCGAGCGCCACGGAGAGGCGACACCTACACCACGACGAGGGACCCCTCCTCCCCCGAGGGACATCTAGCGGTTATCGGCCGTCGCCGGGGCTCACTCGAGAGTTTGCGGACGCTCACCGTCGGAGGAGCCGGCGGCGTCGGGGCCGCACGTGCCGCCCTCCATCTGCTCCAGCCTGTAGGACGCCAGCGCGAGACGCTCCGCGGACGTCAGCCCCTGCCGCTGGCGCCGTGCCGCCGCGTGCCCGACGGTCGTCCCCGCCCGCGGCTCGTCGCCCGACGCCCCGCGGCCCGTCACCCGGACGTGGAGCGGGCAAACCGGAGGTTTCCCGCACCGCGATTTCTCAGTCCGCGGGCGTGCTCTCGGCGGGCGGCCGACTTCTTCCCGGGCTGCTGCCCCTCGCCCCGGACGCAAGGCCAGGGGCACGCCCAGCCCGGCGAGGATCCCGCGGTGCCCGGACACCTCGAGCCCAGCCAGGAGACGCAGCTCAGCGGCCGTGAAGCGCTTCTTCCGCCGCGCTCCCCGCAGATTCTTGCGAGGGACCTGTGCCGAGGTATAACCGCGGGAGGTTTAGTCCACCCATCCCCTCCTCCCCTCCCCCCCTCCAGCGCGCGTCGACGTGCGGGACACGTCGGCAGCGGAGTAACGAACGCGCGAGCGCCACGCAATACGAAACTTAAAAAAACAGTCTCGACCGAATGAACATTCGACCCCCCCGACATTTCAGAGCGCGTAATAGATTCCTGAAACCGGCTGTCGTTTTAACAACCTCAATAAAAAAAACGCTGCCAGCCTCGGTGCACGAGGCAGATAGAGCGGAAGCCGCAGGGGCGGGGGGTGGGGCAATGGGGATTGCGTGGACGCACGCGTGGGACCGGAGTCGGCATCGCTGGCTTTCCTCCGTTGCTCGTCTCCTCCAGCTCCACCTCCACCTCGGCCCACGCAGGCTTTGTGCCACCGGGCCGCTCAATGCCAGCCTCCACGCCAGCCTGCATCTCCTCCTCTGCACGAGGGGGACGCAACAGCAGCCACGACAGCAACATCAACATCACCAGCAACGGTGCTAACCCCATCAACAGCAACACCACCACCAACAACAATAATAATGGCTCTGGGTGCCACCTGGGCGCCCAACAATGTTGCGAAGGTATCGCGGTTCGGATCCGGCAGACCGCCCTGGTTGTTACTGCGGTGGTGTATTAAACGGAAAATTAGATGACTGCTTCAACAGTGGCCTGTAAATATCACCCCGGCGTCATTCGAAAAGAGCAAGCCACCGTGTGTCGGTGTCATGGACCACATTTGTCAAATTCGCAAAAAAAAATACCCGAAAATTACTCAGAATCTTTATTTATACTGGAGGAATCTGATGAGCTATGAAGTTCTGTTTCACAGATGTCCAGTAGTTGTCCAGTAATGCTTGATTGGGATTACACCTACCAATCATTGCCTTAGACTGGAAGGCTAAAAAGTTTGCTCGCAGGCAAGGTGCCGAGTCACCTTGTGCCGCACAAGGACAGCTGCCCCTGGAGGTGCCGTGCTAAATATTTGAGATGAGATGCGACGCAAGTCACTGATCGTCTTTAAAGCGTCGTTAAGTGCCCCTCCCCCCCACGGCCTTAAGGGGCACCTCTATCACAAGCTAATCATTATTACTGTTTACCGCATCGGCAAAAAATCACACCTGCGCAACCTTTTTAGTTTTTCACACTAAATATTTGAGATGAGATGCGACGCTAGTCACTGATCGTGTCTAAAGCGTCGTTAAGTGCCCTCCCCCCCACAGCCTTAAGGGGCACCTCTATCACAAGCTAATCATTATTACTGTTTACCGCATGAGCAAGAAATCACACCTGCGCAACCTTTTTCGTTTTTCACAACCGCCAGTGTCCACGTGTCACAGTTAACCACATCCCCTTGCAGTCCGCTGAATTGGTCTTTGGATGCACCTGTTCAGACGGAGACCACGCGGTCAAAAGCTGTTATCGGCTTTGGTCGGGAGACATTTTAACCTGCTCAGCAATGCCAGGCAGAGACTCTTACCAGGACAAGAGGTTTCAATTTTCACAATCGTCCTGCTCCTGGGTCGTGTTCCGTCCACTTGACTTTGCAGGACTGTATGCCTGCTGTAAGCCGCAAAATTCATATCTGTAAAGCAAACATTACAGATGTGACTTAACGTCGCATTTCGGAATGAAAACATCATCATCATCATCACGATCCATGGGCAGATAGCCCGTAGGTGTGCACATTTTGTCCTTTGTTTCCACTTTCCTCTGTCTTGTATCGATATACTCAAGTAGTGCCACATCTTTCTGGCACCAATCTCTTATGTAAAGCCATTCTCTGTTAGGTCTTCCTCTATGGTTCCTTCCATTTTTCCCGAATAACCAATTAAATTTTCCTGTTCTTGTCCATTCTACATATGTGTCCAATTAGTGCCAGTTTCCTTCTCATCACTGCCTGCATCATCAGGTCGTCTTCTTATATCTGCAACCAGTTTCTTACTTCTACGTTGGTAACTCTTTGGGTCCAGCTTAGATGGCAGTATCCTTCTGTAGCAATGCATTTCAAGTGCCAGTATCTTATCTCTGTCACGTCTTTTTTTTTATGAAAACATACCAGTTACTAATTATCCATCACAAGTTAACGTGAATCATACTCCGGCTTTATTATTTCTCCGAGCTAAGCATCCGCAGGGCATGTCTGTCACTTCGACCACGCCTGATGCAGTTTCACCAATCTGCCAGGGTGAGGCACTCCCAGCGTAATTCTCTCTCCCAGAGTGCATTTCATCCAAGTTGGACTTTGACACAACTAAAGACTCTGCCCCTACGGTCATCATAATTTCACCCCAAATTCAACTTGCCAATTCAAAAGGATTTTTGTGACTGGCACGAGGGGAAGGCATAACAAAGGAGTTGGGGTTGCTGTTAAATTGTCTGTTAACGACCTCGCCTGGTGTACAGGACGTCCGGGGTTCGATCCCTGCCCTGACGCCTGTATATTTTTGAGTTTGTTGCGTGGATTTTTCTCCGGGTCCTGCGGTTTTTTCCTCCACATTTAGAAACAGGTATTTACGAGTATTTGGCACCTATACATTTCCATATGATAAGCTAATTAATTGAGCTATCATTTGTGGCCAGGTCGCTTCTGAAAACGAGCTACATAGCTCAGTGGACCTACTCTCTTCCACAGTCTCTTACCTCACCCCTCTCACTCCCCTCCCCTCCACCACATACTCTCCACCTCTCCTCTCCCACCACTCTCCTCCAGACTCTCCTACCTCTTCCCTCTCACTTCACTCTAACTTTCTCCACACACTCTCCTACTTCTCCCCTCTCATCTCGACCTCCTCCCCCTTCCGCTCCCTCCCCGTGCGGCGGGACGCTCGGCACGGGCGGTGCCCACCGGGCAGCGGAGCGTGGCCGTGCGTGGCACCGAGGCTCCGTGGCTCACCGGCTTCACCGCTCGGCTCGCGCTGCCCGCGACCCGCGCCGTCACCGTCGTGGTTCGCTTCCCTAGCGGAGGCCGCATGCCGAGTGGGCCGCGCGCGCTTGTCACTTCCCAGCGCGAGGGACGGGGCCCAGTCCGGATGCGCCACTTCGAACAGCGCCGACGGCTTGCCTGAACACGAGGGAGGAAAAGCGCAATCGTTATTTGTCGAAAACACTTTCAACAGCTTGAAAGACATTCTTGTTGTTGTCCACATAACTAGATGACGGGCTGGGTACAGGCCTATCATCTAAACCTCTGGAAGACGAAGCAATCAACTGGTTCAACCACTCACAACCGAAACTCTTTCTCTTCGCAGAGAAGATGCCAAATAGAATGCGTCAACGCGGAGAATTGCCTTCCGTAGGAACGAAAGCGCAACACTCCAATCGAGGCTAAACCAGCCACGGGAATCAACAACTCGACGACGACACCCGAGGCAAAACACGCGTGGCTCGTGCGCGTGCCACGTGGTCTAGCCCGTGCTGCCTGTGACGTGCGCGTGCCACGTGGTCTTCCCGGGCTGCCGGTGACGTACGCGTGCCACGTGGTCTAGCCCGGGCTGCCTGTGACGTGCGCGTGCCACGTGGTCTAGGCCGGGCTGCCTGTGACGTGCGCGTGCCACGTGGTCTTCCCGGGCTGCCGGTGACGTGCGCGTGCCACGTGGTCTAGCCCGTGCTGCCGGTGACGTGCGCGTGCCACGTGGTCTAGCCCGGGCTGCCGGTGACGTGCGCGTGCCACGTGCCGTGCACGAAGTGCGCGCCGCACACGCGCGCTCCCCCTCCTGCTCCAGGTCCATCGCCCGGCGCGTCGTCTCCGCCACCACCCCCGCCGCGTCGCAGGCGGCGGAGCCAGGCGGCGCGGCGCTGCACGGACAGCTGCCGCGTCTTGTCGTCGTGGTGGTGGATCACGCACGGGATGCGGAAGAACGAGACGTGCTTGTCTCGCGCCGAGCGGCTCCGGCAGCCGCGCACTGCGCAGTTCACCATGGCGGGGACGCGGGGCGGTGGGGTGTAAGGTGTGGGGTGGGGGGGGGTACGTGGGGTGGACACCAGGGGGGGGGGGGTGGACACCAGAGGGGGGGGGGGTGGACACCAGGGGGGTACGTGGGTGGACACGCGGGGGGAACACACGGGATAGATGTGGACACCAGGGGGTGGGGGGGGTACGTGGGGTGGACACCAGGGGAGGGGGGGTGTGTGGACACACGGGATGGAGGTGGACACGAGGTGGACACGCGGGATGGAGGTGGACACGAGCGAGCTGTCGTCACGCTGATGCTGGACGGACGAGGGTGGTGGGGGAGGGTGTACACCGGAAGCGGAAGTGACGGCGGTGGGGGGGGGGGCTCTGTTATGCCCCGCGCTGAACACGTGACTCCCTGCCCCCCCGCCCCCCGCCCCTCGCCCCCCGCCCCTCGCCCCCCGCCCCTCGCCCCCCGCCCCTCGCCCCCCGCCCCTCGCCCCTCTCCGCGGAGTCCCCACGACGGGCGCGAGCTCCACGGTGGGGGGAGGGGGGGGGACATCGCGGTCACGTGACGCGTCACCAGGAAGGGGCGGCCCCGTCTCCATAGCAACGCGACGCGCGGCTCCAAGCGAAACCCTCGAGTAAGAGCGGCGCCCCCCCCCCAGTGAGACCCCGAGTGAGACCCCCGAGAGAGAGCCCCCCCCCAGTGAGAGCCCGAGAGAGAGCCCCCCCCCCCAGTGAGAGCTCCCCCCCCCGTGAGACCCCCGAGAGAGAGCCCCCTCCCAGTGAGACCCCCGAGAGAGAGCCCCCCCCGCAGTGAGAGCCCGAAAGAGAGCCCCCCCCCCCAGTGAGAGCCCCCCCCCCCGTGAGACCCCCGAGAGAGAGCCCCCTCCCAGTGAGACCCCCGAGTGAGAGCCCCCTCCCAGTGAGACCTCCGAATGAGAGCCCCCCTCAGTGAGACCCCCGAGAGAGAGCCCCCCCCCCAGTGAGACCCCCGAGTGAGAGCCCCCCCCAGTGAGACCTCTGAATGAGAGCCCCCCCCCCCAGTGAGACCCCCGAGAGAGAGCCCCCTCCCAGTGAGATCCCCGAGTGAGAGCCCCCCCCAGTGAGACCCCCGAGTGAGAGCCCCCCCAGTGAGACCCCCCAGTGAGAGCCCCCCCCCAGTGAGACCTCGGAGTGAGAGCCCCCCCACAGTGAGACCCCCGAGAGAGAGCCCCCCCCCCCAGTGAGACCCCCCCCCCCCAGTGAGACCTCCGAGAGCCCCCCCCCCCCCCCCCCCCCAGTGAGACACCCACGCCCTGTGATGTGTTTCTTGTGTTGTACAGGGTGTGTTGTTCAGCGTTGTTGTCCGACGTTTCGCTACCTCGTGCTGAGAGCTTCTTCAGAGGGATGTGTGCTGTATTATAAGTCGCGTGTAATCAGCGTGTGTGGCTCAGAGAGCCACAACCACACCGTGCTGCTGGTGACACGAGGCTAGACCTCGATGTGACAGGGTTCCATCCCCTTACCCCTCTCTCCCTGCCGCTCTCTCTAATTCTCTCAACCACGTGACTTTTTAAATACTTTATATTAAGTTCACTTGCTTGCTTGCTTATGACCGTGCAAATCTTTCGGTCGTTTTTTAACACACTTCCCGTGATCCAATCGAGCTGACATTTTGCACACAGACTCGTTGTGCGTGACAATGCATTTTCGTGAAAAAAATTTTCCAAAATGTTACACTGTTTAGAGAATTTTTTAAAATATTTAATTACCAATTGTTTAATGCTGCCAGACAATCATCTGACCCATAGGTGGCAGCCATCTCAAGCCAGAGGACGAGAGGACTCTAGCCGCCCCGATGCCACGCATATAAAGGATTTATAGTGAAAAACTTTGTTTTTACGGGTTTACTTGTTTCGATTTAAAGCTTTCGTGACTGCAGGGATTCATCTTCTTGGTTCTTTCGGTAAAGTCACGTAGAATGGAAATAATAAAAATAAAACATAATAAAGTAATTCTCATGACGTTTGCGTTGTGGCCGAAACGTCGTGAGAATTATTTTATTATGTTTTATTTTTATTATTTTATTATTTCAATTCTACGTGACTTTACCGAAAGAACCAGGAAGACACGTGACTTTTTTTTTGTATTATGCGCGGTGCTTTTAGCGCCACAGCGCGTCGATTTGTAGCGTTTATTTTCATTTGTTTGCTGGTGACTGTGTATTTCATATTGAAATCGCCTCCAGTGCGATTGCTGCTAGCGGCAATAAAAGTTGTTTAAAAGTTAAAAGTCTCTAATTTTCTCCCTACAAACCTAGCACCAGAGCCGTCACCCCCCCCCTGCGCCTAACCCATAACTTCCTCGCCCCTCACGCTAACCTTCATTCTAAACCAATCTTAATTTGGAGCTTTCGTGACTGCAGGAATTACTCTTTGGTTCTTTCGGTGAAGTCACGTATAAAGATAAAATAATAAATTAAATACTAGCATACGACGTTTCGATTGCAACACAAGCAATCATCATCAGGTATAAATGAAATAGAAACACAAATCTAGTATATTTAGAAATGGAATGTAATACAACAGAGAGTCGGAAAACATAACAGTCAACACCCTACCTGGTTGATTTCATTCTTCCTGAGAATGCTAAATTTGAGAGAGAGATAAAACACAGAACCAGAAACATATAGACATCTGTCTGCTTATATATCTGTTAATATGTTTCTGATTCTGTGTTTTATCTCTCTCTCAAATTTAGCATTCTCAGGAAGAACGTAATCAACCAGGTAGGGTGTTGACTGTTATGTTATCCGACTCTCTGTTGTATTACATTCCATTTCTAAGTATACTAGATTTGTGTTTCTATTTCATGTATACCTGATGATGATTGCTTGTGTTGCAATCGAAACGTCGTATGCTAGTATTTAATTTATTAGTTTATCTTTATACGTGACTTCATTCTAAACCCCGCGTTCCCATCAAATCCGCTGCTGCCATTCACCCATCCCGTGGCCCCCACCTTGCCCTGATGCACCCAACGTGAGCTGCAGCACGAGTTTGACAGAGGCCGAGTGGGAGGCCACAGCGTGGGCACAATGGGGCATCTAAACCTGTGGATGAATCCCAGGCAGACACGAGTCACTGTGTGGATGTTTCCCCCCATGGCTTTCGACAAGTGAAATGCAGCAGCAGTAGCTTTCGACTTTTCAAGCGTCTGTTTCCAACAACGGTTGTGTTTTTACGATACACAGATTTACACTGATATCATTTTTTTCAGCATGCAGGTATAGCAACCCAAGCCCGCTTGTGCTGTTAAACAAAACCTCGTTGAACGTGAACCTTCTGCGCATTTGTCGAGCGTGCACTCCACGTTCCTGCACCCATCGGCGTGTCGCTTGGCTCGAGACAGCAGCAACAGCAGCAGCAGCGCAGCAGCGAAGCTGTTGGCTCTTCGTGACGACGGTCTGCCGTCTTCTCAGGATGTCCGACTCCGACGCGGAGAGAGAGGAAGACGGAGATGAGGACGTGGTCGGAGAGGAGGAGGAGGAGGATTTGGTGAGCGAAGAAGGCAAGGAGGGGGAGCAAGGGGATGAGGAGGAGCACAAAGACGAAGATGTGGAGCCAGCGGAGGTAACGTCACGGGGGAGACGATGTCGCGAGTTTCGCAGGAGCCTCCAAACTGTCGCTCTCAACTCGACTGGTTTTATTTTGTTGAAATTATTTTTTAAATACGTGGTGTTCATACTCCCTCCTACAGCTCGGTACACACACGACAAGGTTCTAATTTTGTTTAGTCGGATGCGCGCAGTTTGAAGTGAAAGCGAGTTAAGATATTCATGTATTTAATTCGCAAGCGTTGGCTGTCGTGCGCTGTGCCATAGCTCAAATCTCAATGAGTCGGTGTATTTCACCAGGTCACAACTTGAGCCTGCATGGGCCCTTGTACATACCATTGACACGTGTTCACGTCCACACGTCTTATAACATAAATATTCCACTTCCCCAGATTGTTCCCGATAACCGATTGGCGCTTTCGGACATGCAAGAGTGCATCTCGCTCCTCTGCAAGACCGGCGATGGATTGGCGCTCGCGTACGTGCGTCTGCTTGCCACAGCACGGTAAGGCCTGCGCTCCTGCACAGATAAAATCACGGGTGCACAGACACAGGAAAACAACTTCCAGTTGCCACAACTAACAGATTGAGATGTAACGCTGTGTCCCCCCTCCCCCCCCCTAGCTATAGCAATTTCTAAAATCGTGGCGGTGTGGCACACGCTTGTAATCGAGCACTGTGGAGGTTTAAGTTTTTTCAGTTTCATTTATTAGGTATAACCCTGTGAGCCATGAGGCTCTTGACTCGGGTGCAACCGCAACAAACAAAAACATGAACAAGAAACATCTTCAAGTGACTACACGCAACAGAAAAATCCAGGAAAAAACACCGTATTTCAACGCTGTGTGCAAAAATACCAGTGGGATGCAAGTCAAACAATAACAACCATAAGACAATTTAGATTAAAGTTATCAGGCTAACTATGTACTACGACAAACGAATATGGCTAAACCAAAACGTTTTCAAAATCACCAAAATAAATCTATAAAAACAATGTAACAGTGATCATAGGAACTGTGATTCAAATGTAACAATAAACGATATACATAACATGAACGACGAAACTTTGCAGCCATAGCTGGCTGCATGAGTCACTCCATAACAGCAGGAGTATCAGTAGCGGTATCAACATTTTTCAATACAGGTAGCGAGGGTTGGTGGGTCGCGCACATCTTGTGAAACGCTCTTCCCATGGGGGTCGGGGAGGTGCCATACACCGGCTCGCCAGGAGAAGGCGTTTAAAATATTTGACTGCTGCTATAAATGCCCACGTGTTATGAGCTAATTCGTTGAGCTATCATTTGTGATAGCCAGGTTCGCTTCTGATAAAGATCTATATCGCTCAGTCAGCCTTACCTTGTAAAAATTAAAGGCGGTACAGCAGAAATGTTGACTCCACCTCTTCCATTGATTCATCACATGTGTGAGTTTTCTCCGGGTGCTCCGGTTTCCTCACACATGTAAACACTTATTAATTGGTAAAAAAATATCTGAATATCTAGGGGTCCACAGAGCTTGGTCAATAGTTGGTACCGTCTCGCCTTTCCCGCTCGACTGTGGTTCCTCGCGCCTCCAAGGCATTCTCCCCCTCGAGTGTGAGCTAACACTGTGCACATTATGAGTTGAAATGACTATTTTTGAGTCCATCTAGACACGACGAATTACTAGGGCGTAGTCCTAACTCTGATTCTGTCAGCTTTGTTTGATGTTTTCTGCGCCAGTGTGTGTATGTTGAACGTCTTTCACACTATGTTGCGAACCGTGCTGGAGTGGTGGGAGGACAACAAACTAAACACAAAAATCAGCTCAATCACAATGAATCAACCTTTGTCTTTCTCTGCCAGCAGGTCCCTGACGAACATCTCAATTCTCAGCGGATATCCACACCTAAGATATATCGACGTTTCCTCCAACAGAATTGCTGATCTGTCTCCACTGTCAAACCTGTCTTACCTTGTGAGTACAACCGCAGTATTCTAAGTTATTGTTACACATGAGAGTATTTTCGTTCTAAAATTAGGAATTGAGATTGCTGCTCTAATGTTCATATGCATGCAGTCCGTTGCATTTACTCACACTATCCTTTGCAGATACATTTTCGCCATACCCTCAGTAAACTTGTGTGTTTGAGAAGAGCTTTGACAGTGTGTAGAATTTCTTTGTTGTTGATAATAAGCAATGCTGTTGATAACTTTTTGTATCTCTGTAATGACTGATACACCCTTACAAGCTGTGATACACTTGCATATCAACGTGGTTTTTCCAGCAGGAGAAAACGGTTCGAGTCCACCAACACTGCCCCACACTTCTATCAGAATGTGGACATGCGTTTGACTTTGGGCGCCACGGTGGCGAGATTTTACCTACCTCGCCTGGTATACAGGGTGTTGTGGGTTCGATCCCGGCCGCTATCATTTGTGGCCAGGTCGTTTCTGAACCTTACTTGGTCAAATAAAAATAATAAATCTTCTTGATTCTTTCGGTAAAGTCACATAGAATGGAAATAATAAAATAATAATTTTTTATATAATAACATAATTCTCACGACGTTTCGGCCACAACGCAAGCAGCCGTCCTCAGGTGGAGAACAGGTCTGTCGAGGAGACAGAGTCTCCACCTGAGGACAGCTGCTTGCGTTGTGGCCGAAACGTCGTGAGAATTATTATATTTTATGTTTATTATTTTATTATTTCCATTCTACATGACTTTACCGAAAGAACCAAGAAGATGAATCCCTGCAGTCACGAAAGCTTTAAATCGAAAAATATATAAATATCAGCATTGGAGAGAGAGAAAGTGTGAGAGATGCAACGCTGCAACAAATCATCCGGGACACGGCGCGCTTACGGCCGCGGTGCCGATTGTCCTTGCACGTCGTGCGCGTCGAACGCAGCAGTGGCGGCTCCTGCAAAATCTCTCAGGGGGGGCAAATGTCTGGATGATTGATAAGGATAAGGTCCACCCATGCAATGGATAAATTAACAGCTTAAGCATGTAAAGGCAACTTCACTTCTTTAATATTAATGAAGAATAAAGTGACTATTACAATACATCTTGTTTGTTTCTATACTCACTATTATTACAATCCACTCAGTTTCTTTTATTAAAGATTCCACTAGGTGGCGACAAATAATATTGTTGACTGAAACGTGCTTACGTGTGATGACGTAAGCACGTTAGTGCGAGCCCTCCCGGAAGCCATAGAGAATGCATTGCAGCGCCCGCCGTTCGAAAAAAAACATCTTTGAATGTAAGTCTATGGGAACACTCTGGGCGATTCTCAGCCGGAGTGAAATCGCCCAAAAAGAGGCGGTACTCCACAGAACGTGCCATGACGCAGAGGCACAGTAACGGCTAGCATGATTCTGTAGTTGAATGAGATTGGTGGTGCGTCGCCCAATCGCCCTAATGAAGAAACCGCCCCTGGAACGCAGGTGTCGCTGAAAGCCGACGGCAACGTCGTGGAGACGACGGAGCACCCTGCGCCGCTGGCCCACCTGCAGGTGCTGAGCCTGGCCCACAACCGCGTGGCGAGCGCGGGCGTGGGGCTGCAGCACGCGCAGCTCCAGACCCTCAACCTCACCGGTGCGTCCCACCCGCGTCTCCTCGTGTCTTCTCTCCCCCCCCCCCCCACTGTTTGCCCTGGTGACAGAGGTCGTCTCCAGGGTACACGGCGAATCGGGGCGATTAACCCGGGGGTCCCTCACTTTTGGGGAGCCCCCGCGCTTCGAGATCACGATGTCAGATGCAATTCTTGCGGTTTAAATTTCGATTTAAAGCTTTCGTGACTGCAGGGATTCATCTTCTTGGTTCTTTCGGTAAAGTCACGTATTATTGTTAATTGGTTCTTTACCCTTCTATCTGGCAACAAAACTGACACCTTTTTACAAGGAGTCATGTTTGCATAGACCGCAATACCTGCAGTCATAATACAAACAAAAGAACATAACTCTGATAATTTGCACTGTCCTCACGTATTATTATTTCCCTTCTACGTGACTTTACCGAAAGAACCAAGAAGACTTGCGGTTTAGTTTGAAAGCTTTGGGGGGGGAGGCCCACATGGTGGGGTTTGCCCCGGGCCTCGCACCCCACCCCCATGGACCTCGCTTTCCTAGGCAAGGCCAGTGAAGATTATCTGAACCAGTCCTAGGCCTCACCTAGGTCGACTCAGCCTCAAATTAGTACCTGGCGTGGTGCGTAAACATCGCTAATGGCGACACAAAGGCGGTGTGATGCTGGCCACCCACACCCTCGTGCATCGTGCCTGGCCGTCAGAGGTGCTCGCTAACAGCACTGGCCCCAACGGTCTGTTAAGGCTATAGGGGGGATCTTTGTCAAATTTGTGTTGCCAGGTAACGCGCTGGTGCGGGTGGAAGGCTTGGGGAGCGCGTGTCGCCTGGTTTGGCTGCACACGCTCGAGCTCCGTGGTAACAAGCTCTCCTCCACTGCTGGGCTGGAGCAGCTCACCAGCCTTCAGCAGCTTTACATGGTACGTATACGCACACACGCACACACCCGCGCACCCGCGCACACACACACACGCGCACGTACGCACACCGCATCGCGCACACACACACGCACACACACGCACACACCTGCGCACCCACGCACACACACACACCCGCGCACCCACGCACACGCACGCACACACCCGCGCACGCACACACAAACCCACGCACACCCGCGCACACACACACATACCCGCACGCACACACACACACGCGCACGTACGCACACCGCATCGCGCACACACACACACCGGGGAATCATGCACACATGCGCCCAACACAATGTACACTTATAAAGAGTGCCTACATAAATTTCGATTTAAAGCTTTCGTTACTGCAGGGATTCATCTTCTTGGTTCTTTCGGTAAAGTCACGTAGAAGGGAAGTAATACAATAATAAAAATAAAACATGATAAAATAAATCTCACGACGTTTCGGCCACAACACAAGCAGCCGTCCTCAGGTGAAGAAACAGGTCTGTCGAGAAGACAGCGTCATTCAGACCTGTTTCTTCACCTGAGGACGGCTGCTTGCGTTGTGGCGGAAACGTCGTGAGAATTATTTTATCATGTTTTATTTTTATTACTTTATTACTTCCCTTCAACGTGACTTTACCGTAAGAACCAAGAAGATGAGTGCCTACATAGTTTATTGTCCTTCCCGCGCGCCTCCAGTTGGCTGCGTACGGTGCGAAAGAAGTTCAACATACATACGTGAACACAGTGCGGCATTCAGCCCAATCGCACGATGACTTCACAAAAAGAAACTCATCAAGTGCTTTTCATTTTAGTTTTCTCAGGTCTACCCTACCCACCGTTGGGAGGATATATTTACACCGTGCATTCCAAGAAGTGGACATTTCACACATTTCACCCCACCAGGCGCATAGGCTTACCATGGGCGTACCACGAGTGACGCATTTCCACTCAGTACACATTTCGTGCTCGACAAATGTGTCCGTGTAAGGGTGTGCGGGGTTCATGGTCTCTACCCGGGTTGGTTACGTGCGGCGCGGTTGGCTAACGTACGGTGAGGGAAAGAATTTCAACGTACGTACACGCATACGCCGATGAAGGGCCCATTGAGATTTGCGGTGCGTTCTGTGTGCCTGGGGTGGGGGGTGTGTGCAGGCCGCTAATCAAATAACTTGGCTCGAAGGACTCTCCTCGCTGCACAAGTTGACCACGCTGCACCTCCGGGACAACCGCGTCAGCTCGCTCAGGCGGTTTCAGCAGCAGCATGGCTGCGCTGCAGTACCTCAACCTGCGGTGCGTACGGTTTGTGGTGGGCGGGGAGCGGTACGCTGGTTGTTAGCGCACTGCGCTACGAACCCGGCGACCCGAGGTCGATTCCTGCTCACGGACCAAACACCAGTGACGAATATCTGTGCCGGTCCTGGGCCTCCTGTAGGTCGACTCAGCCTTAAATGAGTACCTGGTGCGGTGTGCAAACATCGCCACTGGGGAGACAAAGGCTGCCGGGCGTGGTGCTGGTCACCCACCCCCTTGTGTGCCGTGCAGGCTTAAGTAGATACTCGCTAACTGCACTTGTCCCAACAGTCTGTTAAGGCGATGTCATGATTCATTCGCAGCAGCTTTTGGCTGGCCATCGAACAAAGACGGTCACTGCATCAGCGCGCTTTCAGATGCGCTTCCGCGGTCCATCCTGGAACACTCTTCCTTCCGATATTAGGAAGCCACTGGTGCTATGCACTTTTGAATCTAGATCGAAAACTAATTTCTTTAGAACTAATTGTTGTGTTTAGTTTGTTGTCCTTCCCCTGCACGTCCGATTAGTAGAATTGGCTATGTACGGTGTGAAACAAGTTCAACATATGTATATACATAACATGCCTCCCCCCGACCCACCGCGCTATTCAAGGAATAGTCACCGTTGGGAGTCGCGATTCCATTCCAAGATCAGCTTTGAAGTTTTTTTGTGTCGTTTTTTTCCCCCGTCTCATTTGCTCTCTCAGTCTGGTTCGCCACCGTGGCTTAAAGAAATCACGCTTGCCCTGAAATAATTAGCGGAATCATAGATGACGCGTTATCGCGCAATCGCTCGCAATTCGATACGTAGAAACGATGCCGCAAGAAACTCGGTGGCAATTGGCGGTTTGTGGTCGTCTGTGCAGGGGCAACAAAGTGGAGGACGTGAAAGAAGTGCTGAACCTGCAATGCCTGCCTCTGCTGAGGGTGCTCGTTTTGTCCGGTAAAAATCAAGAGCCCTCGTACGCAACGAACACACGTGTACATGACTCGTGCATGTGCTTACACGCGGACATGTTCCTATGCGTTGCCTGGGACGAAGGGTTGAACGGTCTCCTTCTTTCTGTTGCTCATGCCGATATCGAGCAACGACTATTTTTTCATATTAAACTAAACTATTAAACTAAACTCTTTAAAGCTTTCATGACTGCAGGGATTCGTATTCTTGGTTGTTTTGGTAAAGTCAAGTAGAAGGGAAATAATGAAATAATATTTATAATATTTATATTACTTTATTATTTCCCTTCTACGTGACTTTACCGAAAGAACCAATAATATAAACTCTTCTTATTTTACCGGGTAAAGGACCCACTGAGCTATGTAGCTCTTTTTTCAGAAGCGACCTCGCCACAAATGACTAGCTCAACGAGAAGTGGCTTATCACGTAGACATTTAGAGCAGCAGCCAAATACTCTAAACGCACATTCATTCTAAATGTGGAGGGAAAAACCCGTGGTGGCGTGAATTTTTCTCCAGGGTCCCTCCAGTTTTTTCCCTCCACATTTAGAATCAACATGCGTTTCGAGTATTTGGCTGCTGTAAATGTCCACATGATGATAATCCACTTCGTTGAGCAATCATTTGTGGCCAGGTCGCTTCTGAAAAAAGAGACATGTAGCTCGATGGGGGCCTTACCTGGTAAAATAAAAAAATAGTTTCATAGTTTAAATCTTCATCGTCAATCCTTGATCACCTGCACCTACATCCGCAAACCACTGTCAGCCCAGTCGACCGCGCGGCCACCATACCACTCTCGCGGCGGCGTTCCTATCCCGTGCAGAAAATCGATGCTCCGATGGATTCGGTAACGGCGAGGGGGAGGAGGAGGCAGCGGCAGAGGAGGAGGACGATGAGGCCAGCGGAATGTACCGCGCGTTCGTGCTGGCCACGCTGCCCCGCTTGCAGCGACTGGACAAGCAGCTCATCACCGCAGAGGAGAGGGCAAGCGCCGCACAGGTACGGCGCACGGCGGGCAGCGCGGAGGAGGTCTCGGGGTCGCCGCGAATGATTGCAGATGACGCGAGTCGCACCGACCAACTCGTGAGCAGCGGAGTTGGAGTTTGAGTTGTGGTTGATTGCTGACGAAGATGATGATGATGGTTCCCGTGTAGCCGGTCGGCCGGCTGTTTTACACGAGAGGAGATCCGTGGTGCCGCGTGAGCCGCAGCAGCAGCAACAAGAAAAGACAAAAAGTTGATAGTGCACAGAAGGGGCACAGGGTCCTAAATAAATATTTTTCACGAATTAAAAAATGTAACAGCAGTGTACAGGATGAGAGAACGGTGGCCTCAAATCGTCGCTGCTTCTTCCACATTTAATGAGATAAAGCGGTTTTATTCTCGCTCAAATAATGCAGCAAATAATATTTTGCCTTGCAGTGCCTTTTTATTACAAATCTCGTCAAATTTAGTTTAACACGTAGGCTAGTAAAAGTTTAAAGAATGAGGGGAACAAAACCCTCGTTAAAACGTATAACCGGCATTGACACCTGTCCAGGTTTGACCCGGAGAGTCCAGGAATTGTCCATTACGTTTGGGACGCAATAGGAAATCATGGGCCCTTGTGTTGCCTCCGATGTCTGGAGTAACAGCACCTCACCGAACCCAGCCTCAGTCGTCACGACTTACACTCAGTGTCGGATTATCCTAGTAGCAAAAGTAGCTACATTAGCTACGGGCCCCGCACTTTCAGGGGCCCCGCGCTGAATGCTTTCAAGCTATCAATTCCGGTTCAGTGATTCTACACTTGCTCTATTACTATAGTACTATACCTGCCTTCAGCTTTTATGAACAACTGGGTGTTTAAGGTTAGCGATTTGTCGTATTATCTGGCTGCATAGCAAATGAAAAAATACAATTACTTTACTGTGCAAGTAAAAAAAATAGTGTTTTAATATTTACGTGTTTTATTTAGAGCCCCTTTATAACATATGCTACAGGCCCCGCACTAGCTTAATCCGGCACTACTTACACTCGACAGTCGACTGCGACGATGCGCGCGTGGGTACGGCAACCCCAAGTGCGCAGGGGACGTGAGTGCATCTGTTAAATCCTCTGCGAGTGAAGAGGACACAGACCGACACCTCGTGGGCGTGCACTCGACGCACTCCCTTCAAAGTACTCGCCGGGTGACTCGACTACATGCCCTGCGGAGATTGCAATTCTTGGGAGTCAATGACTACTCACAGTAGAACATGAGTGCCTCTTTCCATTGTCAAATGATCATGGTGTACGCAGAGCGAACGGGGTTGCTTATTTAATTTATTTTCTCTTTGATGATCATTTTCATGTTACGTGTATTTTTCTCTCTCTCGTTATTTATGTATTTCGGTTTTTTTTACTTGCTAAGTAAGTGGGGGGTTTTGTTTTTGCATCATCTGTCTTAGGGACCGGCTAATTGATGTTGCAACATTGTGGGATGCAATTGAATGAATGACGCTCTATAAAATGCAATTATTTTTTATAATTTCAGCACAGTTAATCTACCATACCGGTGGGCAGCTGTGCCTTTTGTGTGGTTCTCCTTTGATGACCTTCCCCCTCTTCACGCGTCATGCCCCCCCCCCCCGTTTTTTTCTCTTTATTTACAGGAAGGAGTCGATGCCTGACCAAAGGATGTAAGCAGTTGCCGGCCGTTCGCATTCACATTTACTCTCAATTGAGTGAATACATCCGGTGGCAATCATCGCTCCCCCTGCTGGCAGGCTAAGGCCTCTGGTGTCATTATTGCAAACGAAACTCGTCCTGGTCTCTTGAGTTGTTACCTGATTAAACAAACTCACCTACATCTGGAGATAAAACTAATTTCTTGAGAAATTTCTTGAGAAATTAGTTAGTTGCCTTTCCCCCGCACCTCCGATCATCACGGTTGGCTACGTACGGCACGAAACGAGTTCAACACGCGTACATACGTACCTGGTGAAACTCAATAAAGTTGACACTTTAAATATATGGGGCACAGTTACAAACTCCGCTGAATGCACACACATCGTGGAGGATGCTGCGCTGTGCAACTGGCTGCTGGGGACGGTGGTGGTGGTTGTCTCCCAATGGATTGAAATGCACGCAGGGGTTCCAAAGATTGGCGCGAAGTTGTGATGGCTTTATATATGTTGTGCTCACAACAGGAACCAAACGAACGAATGTGCCGGAGTTGGTTTTGAATAAAAGGCAGGGGAAAACGTTTACCTTATTGTTGGTATTAATTCGGTGCTCCACACGGCGGCGTTGTTGGAACTCTCTCGCGTTTTTTCCCCGACGCGTTCTCATATCGCGCCGCATGTTGCTCGGTCTACGATGTCCGACGTTTCGCGCCACGTGCCGTCGCGAGCTTCCTCGGCAACGTATATGCCGTTCCTGATTCGTCGATTGATGACAGGAGCGCAGGGATCGTTGCAAGCGGGATGTTGCTGCACCAGCCCGGAGCTTGTTATGTGCGAGTGTTTTGTTAGTGGCCATGCATCACTCCCTGCACAAGGGGAGCACAAATAATGCATAGTTACATTTGCCAAACCGTCGGCTACGTCTGCAGATCTTTAACCGCTGTCCGGCGACACCACATGACCAAAGTGCACAACGGACGCTTCGTACGTGTAAACAACGATTGTTTCGATTTAAAGCTTTCGTGACTGCAGGGATTCATATTCTTGGTTCTTTCGGTAAAGTCACGTAGAAGGGAAATAATAAAATAATACTAATATAATATAGTTTTATATTTGTATTATTTTATTATTTCCCTTCTACGTGACTACCGAAAGAACCAAGAATATCAATTTTTTTAATTTCATGTGATGCTAGTTTTAGCACCGGTTCATGAAACAATCATGGTTTACGCGTACGTGACGAGACGCATCGTAACGCCTCCTGTGCACCCTCACTAGCGTTGCGTCGCCGGGAGAGAAGTGAAAGAGCCGCATTGATGTCACGACGCCTTGGGGAAGCGTAACTACTCGTTAGTTGTGCTCTCTTTGTTGCAAGGAGTGATGCATGTCCACTCTTAAAGCGCTTGCATAACCAGCCCTGGGCCGCTGCAGCACACATCCTGCTTTGTGACGAGTGCTTGTGTAAGCAAGCAGGCAAATAATTAAGTTTTTTTTTGTTACGTACACCGAACGCTCATTTATTTTTCTCCCCCCCCCCCCCCCCCCCGTTATACAATGCGAATTACGGCAAAATTTCCACCGACGGTCATCGCCATTGGCGCGCGCGCATACCGACGGCGTTTGTCCGTTACGCAACGCGACCCCGCGTGTACTCTGTGACGCCTGTGAGTCGGAGCGAGCTTTGCTCTCCTTGTCAGCGAGCCAGGCAACACGCGCTCTTCGCTCCAACCGAGGCTGGCTCCTGCAGTTTGGGGGGGGGGGCATTCATTTAGGACGTACGCATGAAGGGGGGAGAGGGACGTGGGGGGGTGACCCCAAATGAGTACGATCTTGATTTGAAGCTTTCGTGACTGCAGGCATTCCATACTCTTTGGTTCTTTCGGTAAAGCCACAGGTAGAAAAAATAATAGATCACGACGTTTCTATCACAACGCAAGCAATCTACCTACGTGACTTTACCGAAAGAACCAAAGAGTATAAATCTGTACGCTTGAGTATGGGGGGGGGGGGTCTACTGATAATGTGCGTACGCATAGGAAACGAGGGAGTGGGGGGGGGTGCTGAAGCCTCGATAATTTGTCTACATTGGCCTTCAAATTAGTTAAATAGTCCGGCGGTGGACTGACTGTTTGCTTAAACGCGTTGATATTATTAATCCTTGATCGTTTCTGCGTGGATTAAATATCGGCCGTTCTATAGGATTCGGGGGGGGGGGGTGCGTCAGGCGTATGTACGCAGGTGGGGGGGGGGGGGTGTCAAAAGTCGTGTGCCTACAGGGAGGGGGGGGAGGCCTCAAGTTTTGACAGATGTTTTGCGTACCTACTCAATGGATGGCTCCTTGTCAGCGCGGGTTGTCCTCGCGGCATGGCGAGATGTTGTCGCCCTCGCCTGGTATGCAAGAGGTCGCGGGTTCGGTCCCGACGCTGACGCCTGCTGTATATTTGGAACCATTAATTGCTTAAATATAAATGTGTTGTTAAACTCGCCACCAACCGACACAGCCAATCACCGAGGTTTTGTCACGTAAACAAAATACGCCAATTACTGGTTCAGCACACCGGTGTGTTGTAAAGTAAACCCACATTTATATTTACGCGATCGAACCCAAACATACCTCTGTTATGGATAATATTAGCCGCGAAAGCCTCCGTGGTGAAGCTGTATATTTGGAGTTTGAATGTGGAGGGAAAAACCGGAGGAAAATCCACGCGACCATTGGGGAGAACGTTCAAACTCCAAAATATAGAGCAGGCGTCAATGTCGGGATCGTGACGCCCGACCTCCTGCATACCAGGCGAGGTAGTTAACATCTGGCGCCTGCGGCACCCATAGCAACATCATACCCACAATCCGTTCGGACGGAGCGTAATACATCGTAAAGTTGTTTGCTGTACCATTGATACCTCATAAATGCTTACCCCGAGCTCTCATACTCTGATGGTGCATTGTCTTTGAGTTGTGCGCCTTTTGGCGTCATCTGGTCCAACACCATGTGAGACTAGGCTCTAAGGAAAGCCGTCTCGGGTGTGGACCAATCAACTTCAAGGACAGTGCATACATTATCAGAGTTATGTTTTTTGTTTGCTTTATGACTGCAGGTATTGTGGTCTATGCAAACATGACTCCTCGTAAAAAGGTGTCAGTTTTGTTGCCAGATAAAAGGGTAAAAAACCAATTATCATATTGTTTTCTGTACTGCACTGAACATGCTCTACGGAGTTCATGGAAGGCCCCTTTTGCCCGTAACGTGATATCGACTTTCTGGAAAAGAATGGTCAAGGAACGAATCTTCTTTTCTTTTTTGCGCGTTCCAACAGACTTAATCTATTTGGAGTGAAATTGCCGTGCAAGTGCAGGTTGTACTGGGACAAGTCGAATCAAATCAGCACTGATGCGGTGCAACAGCTCCCGTTCACAATCCTGCTACCGGTTGTGGGAAATCCCACATTCCTATTGCGGAGGAGCAGGGTGCGAGTATATCCACAGGATTTGAAAACACATTCCTGCTGCGGAGGGAGCTGGTAGGAACGTTGGGTTGCTCGGTCAATGGCCAGGGTCAACGGCGGCGTGGTGTATTCCGCAAATATGGCCGACTGTGAGGGCGGGCACAATGCCGGCGTGAGTAGGTTAAACGTTGAGTTTTATAAGGGCACCACGGGGTGACCAGCCCCTCCCCACCCAGCCCCACCCACCACCCAGCCCCTCCCCACCCAGCCCCTCCCCACCCTCCCCACCCAGCCCCTCCCCACCCTCCCCTCCCCACCCTCCCCTCCCCACCCAGCCCCACTCCTCCCATTTTTGGATGCACAACGGACGGACAGACACAATAATCCCCTGTGGGCTGGTGTAACCAGGAGGTTCCTACCAGTATAACCGTGCAATTCGTGGCGTTCAAGCGGAATTAGAATCTTTATTTAGACTTGCAGGAGGAATCCGATGAGCTATGAGGCTTTTTTTCCATAGATGTCCAGTCGTGGCACGGGGTCAGAGAGTTTTCAACAGCAAACAATACCCCCCAAAAAAACGATAGCAGTGAAAAATTGAGAAAAATACTAAGCAAGTCACTAAATAATTAGCAACAATTAACTGTATATAAGTCGGATTTGTCAAGCTTGGGCAAGGCAGCAACATAATTTGGCCCAATTGCCTCCCAGTAAAAGCCCGATCTTGAGTGCTTTGTTTATACTTCCCTATACTTTCCACTCCTGTCGTGTTGTTGTACTGTTTGTTGTTGTAGCGTTCTATATAACTTTATAGCTCATCGCATTCCTCTGGTACTAATACATATTCTGATATGGGGCACCTGATGGGCGAGATCTGGATTCCTTTCCTTGGGGGCCGTCCATAAATGACGTTACGCGATTTTGGACGATTTTTGACCCCCCCCCTCCCCTTCATCACACGACGTCACAAGAAGTCAGACCCCCCCCCTCAAATATGACGTCACAAAGCTCTGCCCCCCCCCCCAAAATGAAGCATGCTTCAAATCGCTTTAAACTATTGTCATTGTAATGCGTATTTAATGTGGCGCTGCACTCTGATGTTGTCGGAGAAAACATTTATTTAAAAAGCCTATTAAATTAAGTAGAACGTGTTGTCTATATTCATTGAAAGTTGCGCATTTTTATGTGACGTCACATTTCTCAAACCCCCCCCTCGTCACACATCGTCACAAATGTCTGACCCCCCCCCCCTATAGGTACGTGACGTCATTTATGGACGGCCCCTTAACAGGTAGTCTTCTCGTGTCTGTGTGTGGCCCAAGATATGACAGAGTTCTTAAATTCACTTTAATGCACAGAAAGAGACCACGTGCTCAGGAGGAGGAGTAGTGACGCAGTTGTTAGCTCACTGCACTGTGGACCCGGTGACCCGAGTTTGATTCCATGACATGCCCAATGTCCAGCGGTGAGCGATATCTAAACCCCCCCCCCCTCGTCACACATCCCACCCTTCCCAACCTCCACAAACCCAAACTGACCCACAGTGGTGAAGTATGGTCAAACAGCTCCCGTAACCGATACAGCAATGGCTAGGCATTCATCCAGCAGTGGATTAACAAAGTGCTGAAAATTTATTTATTTTAATTACGAACGTTATTTTCCCATTAAATGTAATTATAATTCATCACAACTGCACACATCATGCGCCCTTATACTGCTTTGCAAATTACGCGGCTCGAGATTAAAAATGTTTTACCCTCGGTTTTTGTATTTTTTTTTTATTCAACAAAAGCGTTTCTGTGTTTAAATGAACGACGCAGTGGCTCTCCTCTCCTTTGGCAGCCTGGCGGATATTCCACATTACTGCGATGGGAGTCGGGCTTTCTCCAGAACGTACCCTGACGACCAACCACACACGAGTACTTCTTTTTCCCACCCCGATTATTATTACTTTATCGATTATCATTAATATCGGGGGGGGGGGGGTGGTGGAGTTTTCTTACTTTTCGGATCAAATCTACAAAACTCGACCAAGAACACCCGGGTGGGGACTCGAATCCAGGTGAATGTTTGCTGCAAGGCACGAGGGTGTCTATTGAGCCGACCCTCTGCGCGCACTTTACCCTTCCTCTTAACGGAG